GGGGGGGGGAGGAGGTGATGAGGACAGGAGGGAGCCAGAGACCGAGGAAGGGAGGCAGAGGCGAAGGGGACGGAGGGGGGGCGTGGACACTGCCACGTTCTAAAAGTCCACAATGATTGACGGCCCATCCCCTACAGAAGCTATAGCTCGGCGGCCAGACCATGTCCCCCTCAATCGGCCGGTTGACCAGATGATATGGCCCGTGGAATGCTTAGAAGCAGAGCGCAGTGAGGTTTCTGACACACTCACATGCAGACCAGCATGTGGGCACATACATGAGCCATATATGTTCATACGGTTCAGTTACAGGGAGAAAAGGATCATGACACCGGCGTGCATGTGTCCTTTCCCCTTAAACACAAAGAGCTGCATGTTTGTGCAGTTGACTGAGTGGAACATTTGCGGAACATTTTGTTCCCGAACTCCTTGCATGACACAAAACTCGTATGGCGTATTGTCAAATAGCTGATTAAAACTTAAACGCTTGTGACAGTTGGTTTAGAAAAATTGTTTGGGAATGTATTCCAAGCATTGCGTTTCGATATGGGGCAAGTTAAATCTCACTTTGGTGAAAGCAAAGCAGAAAATAAACGTGTGAGATAAAGCTATCAAAACTTACACCACATAAATTAAGTAAGAATAACTCAGATCAGAACAAGGGAATTCATTCTCAGCCATACCGATTTTTTATAGATCAAACTCCCGACTTATTTCCCCAATCAACCTTTTTAGAAACAAACTTCGTATTTAGAGGCACAGTAACGCTGTAAAATGAAAAAAAGCTGTTCCTATTCTCCCAACGGTGATGCCTTCAACCTCTCCCCTTTTTTCCACCTCTTTGCTAAATGGAACATGTTGTTCCCTGTGCTCCACAGCCTCCACCAGTTCTACCTCCCCTCTCCCACGTGGACCCCACCACAGCCCGTTTGGCCCAGTACTATCGCTCAAAAAACACTAACTCTATGAAACTCCACACAAACGCAGCCAGTAAAAAGTCTCTCTTCAGTGGAAACCACAAACAATATCAAACCTGGTCAAGTTTACTCGAAATACCTAAAACTTACAGAACATGCTTTGTCTCTTATGGGTAACCATCTTGATGAGTATGATAAAAAGTCAGATATGTTTGCCACTCAGCCAAAATCCAGCCTCCGTATGGCATCTGTATGAAGAAACGGCTTACTTTCTTACCTCAGTGACTGGTTGTGTTTCAGGAACGATGACTTCAGCTTCAGTTTCAGTCGTCTTCAGCGTCGGAATCTCGACGGCCTGAACATCTTCAGGGATGGGAACTGGATCTTCACTTTTAAGCTCTGGAAGGAGCTTAGCCTGAGCCTCCACCTGGGCTTCAACCACAGCCTCTGCCGGTCTCTGTTCCAACGACTCTACTTGGGGCTTTGGTGCGTCCAGCTCATCTGGGACGGGCTCTGCTACGGGTTCTTTCTCAACCGGCTTTGGTTCTGGTCGGGGGGTTTCGGCAACGGGGACGGGGACAGGGACAGGGACAGGTACAGGGACAGGGGCAGGGGCATGGACAGGGATTGGGACAGGGGCCGGGGCCGCCTTTGGGATCTTCTGTGGAGCAGGAGCTGGAGCTTTGACTGCTTTCTTGGGGGCGGCCGTAGGGGGTGCGCTCACTGCGATCCCCGGGCCGGCTTTGACGGGTGGATTACCTGCATGCTGCTCTTCAAGCGCTCTCCTCTGCGCCTGCTGCAAGACGGTGAAAAAATGTACGAAAAAACATCAGGGTCAATGACTGTTGTCCTGTCATTACAATGGAGGACAGCTAAAACTATTACATGTTAATGTTATGTTACACTTTTAGGTAATCATTCATCTATGTTTAGACGTGTTTTTGTGGAATTAATTGATATATTTGATCAACTAAAGTAATATATAATGAAGTTCTACCTCAGTGGTAGTTGATAAAAGATTATACTTTAATGCAAAGATGGACGTAAATAGGAGTCTAAAGGGTCCCAGCATTACTCAGGCCCTTATCATGCTCAGATACCAGTGCTGTTGTCTGTGGTCTGTGGTTCGTTCGAGCACACTCCCGTCTGCAGGAATAGCAGGCATGCCATCCTGGCCAGGTCCAACATGTTTGTCTGCTCCGGACAAAAACCCCCTCGGGCTTTCACGGAGGTTTTAGGGGGACCAGACCACGGCAGGGAGGGGTAAAACTGGGAGTGGGCCCAGTGAATCTAGTTAGATAATGGGAGCTAATTAGTTGAATCCGAGCGGTCCTGACAGGTCTGGTGAAGCGGGAAGGGAAACCGTGCGAGTCAGCAGCACTGATGGGTGCCCCGCGGGCCAGACAGTGGGCCTAATCACTTCATAATCAGGTTATAATCAGGTTACAATCACTCCCCCAAAAATGCTTTTGTTAGGCCCACAGCCAGTTAGGCGATGCAGGACCAATACTGTAAGCCGAAAGTGGACGTGCATAGCTGCATACGTCAATGCTTGGCTAGCCAGCCGCCGTCAAAACAAGCATTATCCTCGCCCATACAGAGCTTGCCATCGCCACAGAATTTGCTGCTGATCAAAGATCGTAAGCGCGTTCCTTCCAAGTGAGAAGCACATACACACAGGCGCGTGTTGCCAAAGCACATCTGGTGTCACGTCTGTCAGCTCCTTCTTTCGCAGCAGACTGATACCACAGGTGGAGCCTCCCAAACGGACTTAAGGGGGCCTATTTTTACGCGAGTGTCACTTTCAGACGCCGAGAGAATGAGAGGCTTTGTGCGGATTCCAATCCGGCGAAGCTAAACCAAGACATTCCTCCACTCCACCAGATTACCAAATACAGTTGTGCGGTGTTGAGTGTCACAGACTGGCTGGCTGGCCGGGGGCTTAGGGATAGCAGGGGGGGGGGGTGTGGGGCCACGGAGGAAAAAATGCCACTAGGGATCCACACCGAGAGTTACTGCAATGGTTGAAGGACTGAGTTTCTATTGAAGTTGCTTGTAATCTTTTGAGTTGAGATCTGGAAATCTGTCTTATCTTTATCTTGAGGTAGTTAATAAAGGATCGACAATAGTGAGTTGGGTGATGGAGTAACCTCTGCCCTTTGAGAAAATGGAGCTTCTGTGCTACTTTCGCACATCCCCCCCACCCCCTCCCAGCCCCAAACCCACCCCCCACCTCCGCCACACCCACCATTTCTCTTTGGGCACTGAATGTTCAGATTTTTTAAATTTGTACACTGAGACAGGTTGGAAGAAGACACGTCATTTAAATGTCACTGGTGATTTGGAGTGTTCCAGCATTTAGACTCTGTATCATTTATTGACACTGTTAAAGGCATTTTAAAATCAATTCACCCTCAGAAAGCATATTTTCAGATAAGATCTGGACAGTAGTGCGTTTCACATTCCTTGGCACGACGATAGAAATCTATCATTTGTATGTATTTCAATACAAAATAATATAATTACTTCTTTTAATTCTGCACACCGAATAAGAAAAGACTAAAAAGTAACGCAACAAAGTAAACCCTATCTTTAGTTGGCCTTATAACGCTGACAAAAACCTGCTGCTCAGGTTTGCTGCATGATTTGCTATTTATGTACATTTTATTCCTCAGAGATTTTACGCACGGACAAAGTGTGAATGTGCGCCATCACTTCACAACATCCGACTGCTTTTTTTTTTTTTTTTTTACATCTTTTGACTTGGTTCTCTGTTGCTTTACGTGACATGCTGAAATCATTACACACGCAAACGAAAGAATAACACTGTTTTTGTATCAGCCTGAAGCGCGACGATGAACGCTTATATCAGCTGTGTTTGACTCTTCTCCCTATCGTATCTGTGGGGGGGGGGGGGGGGGGGGGGAATCTGCAGAGACGCACTTTGTTAAATTAATTCCACAAAAACTGACGTCCATGCTTAAAATAAACACTCAAGCCAATGGTTTAAAAAAAAAAAGTGCCTGTCACCACTTACCACCCTTCTCATGCGACGCTTATTCTTCTTTCTCTTGCTGGGCATTTTGGTGCGCGCTGTTCGGGAAAAAATACAAAAAAACAACCGAGAGAGTGAATACAGGCAGCCAGGAAGACGGAGAGAGGCTGATGTTTATAAAGCCCCCAGTATTTCTGTTACCTTTGAGCGGAACCTATAGGAGGACCGGGATGGAGGATGGGGGCGTGGAGCTCGGAGAGAGCGAGGCGCGCACGCACGCACGCACGCACGCACGCACGCACGCACGCACGCACGGGAGCGCGTGTGGCTGCGCTGCGCCGTGGATGTGCGCCACAGCTCCGTCAGAGGGCCGTTGTACCAGCCCTGGGCAACTGTACAGACGCATGGGGACGTTATGTAAGCTCTGTGTCCTCTCTGAAACCCTTTTTTTTTTTTTTTTTTTTTTGGTGAAGCACATGGCAGCGACCCAGCACATGTATGTGTGGATAGGTTTAACTTGGAGAGTTTTTGGGGGACGTTGAAATTTGTCTGAAAATGATTTGAAAACCATCTGCTTGACAGATGATTAACAAGGACAAAAAAAACAGAGCGGCTTGTGTAGAAATCACTGTAGGGCCCCCATCCGTTTTTGTATTCATCAAAATCATGAGGCCGAAGAACAGTGGTCATTGTGTGTGACTCTTACAGAGAACACAAAGACACAGACGTGTCCATGCCTACTCCCATTGGACTGCATCGGCTGTTAGGAGCCATTGTCTGGAACTTCTTGAAAAACATACATAATTAAAAGGGCTGGAGAAAAAAAAGCTCTCTTATCTATTTAACCATGAAAAGGTGGCACTGGTTTTCAACAGAGACACATTCAGACTTCCCACTTATTGTGTAGTTAAGTGAGAGGAAGTCAATCTGAGATCTTTTTTTTGTTTCCTTTTCGGGGGATTCGGGGGAACTGTTAACCAATTCCTGGTGCGTACACGGTGATCTGACATTATGCAGCGAGACAATCTTGCCTGACGGCTCAGCCCTGCTCTCAAAAGTGTCTGAATTCAGTTGCATTACTTCCAGTGAATGCGTTTCATTTCATTTTACGCTGCACATAGTGATCTTGCGCCTAGCCGGAGACTTTTCCTATCTGCCCTTCTGACATGAAATATGACCATGCATTTGGAGTCCTGACCACTATGACATTTGTCAATGCCTATGGGTGGAAAACGGACGGGCTTGTCGGCCTGTCTGTGGCAAAAGTAAGAACTCTTTCTAAATATCTTGTTGTGATCGAATATGTTTGATTTGCAGCACCTGGCTGCCATGTGCCCTCTTAACTCTTAATGTGAAAGAAGTTGAGATATATTTATGTTTTTTACATACTTAAAAACAGAAGCAGGACTTACTTTTGTCAGTTGACCTAATTTTATCATATTATGCTTATATTGGTTGTACATAAAGCTGTACAGAGTCTTTTTTTTAATGTAGTGGCATCAATACTAGAACTGTATGTATCCATCCGTTCATCCTATTGCCTTACTGCTTATTTCTAGTAGAATGTGAGAGGGGGGGGGGGTCTGGAGCCCATCCCAGCTGTCATTGGGTGAGAGGCGGGGCCCACCCTGGACAGGTTGACAGTCCATCACAGCGCTACACAGAGACAAACAACTACACAGGCTCACATTCCTAACCTTCACCACCTAGCATGCATGTTTTAGGGCTGTGGGAAGAAACTAGAGAGGCCATGCATACGTGGGGGGAATTCCACAGAAAAAAAAGGCCCCATGGCACCACAGCCATGCGTGCATTATGGCCGTGGTCATTATTGATAGCAATCTACAGTTCAACAAAAGCCCAAGATTGAGTTGCTTTAAAGTGTGCACGATTAACTATAAGGATGTTATAGTTGGCTTGCTGAGGGGAATTGGTCACTTGTTTTCGGCAGTGTGTCAGAGTGTTAGATTCAATTCTTGGAGGAGAAAGTTAAGATACTATAGAACTGTGAAAATGGAAATAAATCTTTTTTGTTTTTTTTGTTTCTTTTGTACAAGTTGGGGAATGTTTCAGAATGATGACATGTCATATCAGGTGTTTTGTCATATATCTTTAATGGGTTTTTTACCACAAACATCTGTATAACAAGATTGTTGTTGTTTTTTAACCATAGTCTTTACCATAGGATGATGTAAGAGCTATCAGAAATCTATGTATCAAATATGGCACATGTGGTGTTATAGGTTTAAAATATTCCTGTCATAAAAGCCCAACCCTTAAGGTAAGCAGGGTCCAAAAACAGGCAACAGGCAACCTCAATGCAAACGCGAGGCGGCCTAAAGATAGACCCCCTTGACTTTGCTGTTAAGGACCCTTCTGAGGAAAGTTTTTCCCTTTCGTCCGAGAGTATCTATACATTTTTACAGTTTCAGCCGGAAGTGCTCGGGTCCAAAGACAACTTCACTTTTGCCTGAGTTTAAAAACAGAAAATTCTGAGTCATCCGAGTCTCCACATCTAGGACACACACTTGTCTGGAAGTTGCGATCGATCACACAAACAAAGCACTGAGCTCCAATAGAAAAAGCCCAGATGCAAGTCCACTATAGGCTAAGGAGAAAGAACTGGTCACTTTTTAGTGTTTTTTGTGCTACAATGAGCTCTGGATCATGGTTAAATCACTTCAAACTGATTTCTTTCTGTTGAAAGGATGACAAACTTGATAAGTAATTACTTTCCCAAGAACTTTTGACATAAAAAGGTGCTTAGATACAGCTCTATAAACAATGTTCGTGAGAATTATGAGCTATACTTCAGGGAATGTTCCACGACAGAGCAGCTCTTTCATTCAATATTCCAATATATTTAGTTTGTTTGAGCAAATGTAGAAAACATTAGAGAGAAAAGACACATTTCTAAGGAGTGTCAGTTCAACTGGTTTGCCAAGGTAATGTGCCTGAAGGGTTCAGTTGTGCAAGTAGAGGAGAGAGTTTTCAGAAGAGTTTAAAAATCAGGAATAAAGCACAACACTTATTTGTGGATATCTAAACCATAAGTAAAAAGGATTATCAATACGGAGTGAAGCTGACGCACTGTTGCTTGTGTATGTGCTACATCGATACCATGAAAAGCTGGCAGAGAAGCACCGTTTCCATTCCAGGTGTGAAATGGGGAAGGATATTTTCCTGCACTCTACGCCAGATTTGCATAACTAAAATGAGCCGGTGGAACCTAAAACATACATACTGCTCAATGGGTTTTTACAAACAAATCAGACTAACAGATTATTGGCTATACGGCAAGGGCTACAGCTATGAGTCATACCAAAAAAAAGGAAAAACAAAAAGAGCACCATCTTTAAATAGATTAGCTGTTTGGTTGTGCTGAACTTAGATATCGCACGTCCACATATGATCCGCACACAGGAGTGTTGTTCATTCAGCTCACACACATCCACATCCACCGCATCCATCTCATCAACACAAACACACACACACACACACTCCAGGTAAAAAAAACACGGCTGCTTAATTGGTATTTTTACATTTCTTAACTTTCACGCAAGCTGTACATTGAGAGACCAGCTAAATAGGGAGCTCTTTATGTGTTCTCACACAGGAATAGGCATATAAATGCTAAGACTATTTCAGACTTCATGTGAAACCACCAAACTCTTCACTCCTCTTGGTCATTTTGAAGTACAACGATAGAGAGCATTTTTTATACAAAAAAAAGTTAGGTCTGTTAACTGGATTGATGATTAGATTTGGTCAGATGTCATTTTCTGAAGTTATTATTTGTGTCTGTCTACAATTTGAACCAGAAGTATTTGATTTCCTGGAAAACAAGCATGTGACAGAGCTCCGGAGGTCATATGTCAGCGTTTTGCTTAAGATGCTGTCCATCTGATAGCTAACTTGAGCAATTTTCAGGTAAGATAGCTAGTTCTTCAGAATAAATGAGCACTTCTAAATCTGAGTTAACATGTCTTTACATAAGAAGAGGATACAGCCGTGGTATAGAATAAAACTCTTAATTTACCTACAGTCAATTGCCCCTTGCACAAAATAAACATCAAATTTGGCTAAACGCCAAAAATAAGACATGAATTAAAGCAGCTGGAATTAGTTCTGGGTGCTCCAATCTCTCTGAAAAGGGGTTAAGAGGAACAAAGGATGAGAGTGTCTCTTTTAGCTTGCAAGAGCTGCTTGCGACCAATTAAGCGAACGGAAGAATTATTTCATCGACTGATGACGATAAATGTAAACAGATCCACAATCAGATACTGTGCAGAGTGGTGGGTGGTACCTGCACAGCCCCGTACCTGCACCACTGAGAGAGCATGACTCTCAGGAGGAGTCCACCTCCCTGAAGGAAAAGCTGGGTTTAAAATAGAAATATGTCTAACACGGAGGTTAATGTACGATGGAAGTGGCTCCGGCAAACAGGTTCTGTCAGTAATCCATGGACTGAACAAACTAAACTAAACTAGAGCTGTAGCTTTTTCTATATGAGAGAGATAGTCTTAAATTTTTAGTTAGGGCATTTTTGCTAATGAGGGCATTCACAGCCTTATATGGTAGTTTTCGGTCGAGTGTTAATGCCTTACAGTCTTTGTACAATGCTGAAAGTTGCAGTATAACAACTTTCTAACCTCACTGAGCAAATATAATCAGCTGCACCTGATGGGTTGGCTCACAATGATTGTTAGCATACCAGCTCATCGAGCTCACAGCTCCCACTATCAACCCAAAAAGTCACGATAGAATCTTCCCAAGTTTTTTTAAATAGTGGTAAAATTAGTGTGAAAATCTTTTGGTCTTACAGGAAACAGATCTGCAGTCTCATAGTCTCTAAAAATTCGTGAAAGTCTTCCACCAGGCCACGGTTTGCCAATAGGGGGGGAAAAAAAACTTTAATTAGAAGTTATATAAGACTAATCACTTCCCACAACACATGCAACGTGAATGGAGCAGTTCTCATCAGAGAAGTGAGAGATGTGAATAATTATTCAACAAACTCTCCCTTAATAACCACAACGGCTCTCATATTTTGACATTCCTGTCTTTAGCCCATATCCACACAGGTCCCATCTTTGCCATTCCTTGTTATATTGTCCTCTCTCTTCTCTGTCTGTTTAGCCTCAGGCAGGTTCCTTCATCTTAATCTATTCCAGGATCCGGCCGGTGTCTTTCAGAGCCACAGTGAGCATGAGCTGTGAGGACTCAACACCAGGAAACATAAAGTCCAATGCAAAACTTTCTTCTAAAAGTAGCTTTTTTTGTGTGCCTACAGATGAGCGAGTCCTCAGAAGCAAACCTCATAAACAACACTGAGTGGATTCTTTGTAGTTTGCTGGACAAACTGACCTCTTGAAGGGCCCACATGTTGGTCATTAATGCAAAGTCACACAGGGGGGCCCAGCACAACTCAAGATGGCAGAACAATGTATCAAATTGTTTTCCAGGCTGCAAAAGGTAGTGATAGTGATGTTTTTCTTATATTTTGATCAAATACAAGTAAGATAATACATGCATGTGTAACATTTAACTTACTGGACAATGTTTGTTTTTTTAATTATGGAGAGTTATTAGATAACAATCAAAGCATCATGAAATCAAGCTTGTGGGTTATCACCAAACCCTTTCAAAGGCCATTTAAAAGTTTTGTTTGTTGCCTGAAAGAGATCGTTTTATAAGATATAAAAAAAATCCAGCATTGATTATTACAGGTATTTTAAATCCGAAGTGTCCAGAGAAAGAAAAAGCCATTACTCAATCAAACTAGTGGAATCTGAGAAGGAACGACAACAGACAGTTGATTTTTTTCATTGTCCAGTATTACTAGTCCCTGCCTCAGTAGTGTCATTGGTTTTTGCTTTAAAAAAAAGAAAGAGAAAAAGCTGTTAGTGATTTGTTGTAGCTGCCCCCAGTCCTGTTTTTTCTAGTTCCACCCCCTCTCTGGATAGTGACAGCATTGTCTGAAGGCTTCACGTTTCTACCCTTCAACAACATTTATGTTGTCCATGTATGTCTGAATGAACATGGATGTTTTTTTCAGTTTTTTTTTTACATGGAGCTGTTAGATGTTTTCTTGGTTTTCTAAGAACAACTGAGGAAGCACCCGCATACAAACATAGTAAAAGGACGGATTTTCTTCTATATATACATCAATGTTGTTCAACTGGAAATGACTCAAGAAAAGGACAAATGCAAAAAAATGAAAAAGCTTGACTTATAAATCCAGAGGAGATATGAGCAGCCAGACCTGTGCTGCCCTCTGCTGCTTTTTTTCCCGCAGTACAACAGTGGCCTACAGTTCTCACATGAAATCCTCGGTACTTGGTTGCAACATTTACGTAATCGTGTAATAAATTTGTTTGCACAGCTACATCGTTGAGAAAAAAAAAAAAGATATCAAGAGATAATAATGGTAACAGGACGTTTCAAGTCCGGAGCAGATAAGGCAGTCCCCGGCCCTACCATGAGTGTTAAAAAACAACTACATGCCCTATTAAAAAAAGGAAAAGCCTTGTCTGGCACACAAAAATATCAACTTTTATTCCTCTTTTGATAAAACATTCATGGGATTTGATTCACAAGTCTACATCATGTATTCATTGAGGAGATATTTACATAAAAATGTTATCATTCTGTTTATTTGCTTTTTTTGCACAAAAACATGGTGTCTTAGCATTTATAAAGATGGATTTAAAGATTTCCATTTCCCAGGGGACTTGATGTTAATTATCACACATTTAAATACTATTTATACTTTGTCCTGAGATTTATGCACTATTTGCATGTTGCAAGTATATTTCAAGTCCTGACATTGAATGTTTAAAATAAGTTCAGAGGAATGTCCCAAATGTTTATTCAAAGAAAAACAGGGTTTCTCATCAGTGGATTACTCATCCATGTGTGAAGGGCTGATGGAGTGTAAGACAGAGAAAATTAAGAAAAGCAAACGGGAACAAAAATAGAAAAGGTTGTAAACATTTGTCTTTCGGAAAATCATCTTGTCTTGATTTAAACATGAATATACAGCTCCTTCATTCGGAGTCTGATACAGAAAGCTTTACCTGAGAGGCAGTTTGGTTAAAAACATTTTTTAAATTAAATTGAGCCATACGACCACAACATAAAACACTCACATATCCTGACAAGACTAAATAAATAAACGGCGTGTCTAACATTAATTCAAGAACAAAACACAAAGAAAGACATGCAACAGCGCAGAGATGATGATAACGAACCGAGTTCAAGTGAGTATTTGTGAAAAAACAGATGAGAAAGATGTCAAACTCGTAAACACTAAAATAATGTCAATTTCTGTTTATTATGCCGTTTTGCTACATATTTGCTAAGAGTGATCAGATTTGGGAAGTCTGCAGAGTTGATATGTTTAAGCTGTGAATGGAATGGTTTATAGAAATGAGTCACTACAAAATGAAATGAATCAGTGGGAGACAGAGGTGTCCTGATGTGGGACTACCTCTAAAACAAAGTGCATTTCAGTCTGAATGGGCACCTGTGTTTTCATTACGCATGATCAATACATTTTAAAAGGCTTGAGACATCCTACGATAGTGTGACATGCCAGCAAAGTAAAAAAAAACCACAAAAATCCTTTGATGATGAAGGAAATAAGGCTCAAGTATGCCGTTTTAACAATCACATACAAAAATAAAATGGATCTATGTACTATATGTTTCATATTTACTTTACATTCATGTAGGAGACATTCTCATATATTGTGACATAATAGGAAGGAGCACATTGGGAGGTAATTTCAGATGAACTGTTCACTTTGGACACGTAAACCAAGGCGGGAAGGGATCGAACCAGCAATCCTCAGATTGAAAGACTACCAACTTCACTTCTGAGTTACGACGACCCTCCATTTTCCAACTTTATGGCATTTTCTACCATTTAAAAATAATACAAACTCCTGTTTAAAGCTCATCTGACTCCACGAGGCAGTGCAGGACTGTCCGTTATTGACCCAGCAGGCCGGGGGGGGGGGCTGTTGCCTTATTGTGGCTGTGAGCGCCCCTGGAGCTGTTCTCTGTTTTCCAGAGTTGGTGGCGGCGTTGTTGGATACACAGGGACGTTATATTCAGTGTAGGCTGGGGGGAGTTCATCGGGTTTGAGTACCAACTGGAATAAACAGGGAAACACACGGCTTTAGAAATGAAAGACTTGCCACTCTGATAAAGATGCTAAGTGTTATAAAAAAAGGTGCTAGTCCCCTTGATATGTCTCTCTCTTTTAATGAAAGACACTGGATATGTACATTTTTCTCGTTCATGTGTGCCCATGAGAACCTCTCAAAGAAATGTCAATTGCCAAAATGGACTTAAATGTTTGCTGAGACCCCCCCCCCTTTTTTATTTATTTATTTATTTATTTTTAATTTTTTTTTGTTTGTTTGCCTGGTTTCTGTTTTTCTTTATGTAAGTGCATGCATAAATATTCATATGCATGTGTTGTTGGATTCATAATAATCTTAAAATAAAGAATGTTAAAAAAAAAAAAAGAAATGAAAGACTTGAGAGAACCCAACAAAATTGTTTTTAAATGTCATTTTTACATAGAGGTCCATTGGATTGCATTGATTGCACTCACCTCGTTGTATGAGGGTGGGGGCCCGTAGTACTCGGTGGTGCTGTACCGCGGTGGCGTGCGCTCGGGGTCCGGCTCGGCGGCGTGCAGGTCCTCGCTGTCGCGCCGAGGCCTGCGGTGAGGGAAGGGGATGACGTAGATGGACTGCAGATGGGGGCTGTGCTCGCTGCGCCTCAGCACCTCCCTCTCTATGTGCTCCTCCCGCAAACGGGCGCACGCCCTGCAGAAGGTGGTGCAGCACATGATGCTCAGGCCGATGCCCAGGAATCCCAGGAAGATCCTTAGAGAAAAACACAGAGAAGTGGGACTCAACGTCTTATTTCCGTTTGGAATTCAGCCAATTTTTAGCTGTCAGAAAGATGGCTTTACATTTAATTTTATAATCCTTTAACTTTACTTCAACTACAAGGAAAAATCCTTCCCATGACTTATGTAAAATAAGGTGCAGTAAAAAACCAAATTTTCAATAAATAAATCAAACATTTCACTGTTAAAATACCAAATTGAATAAAAGGCAAAGCAGGGTCGACGTCTGTCTCCCTTACTATAAAGTTGCTGAGTGAAGCAACATAAATACAGGAAAATAACTAACACTGACATATAAATGAAAAGAGACATGTCTTACTCTAAAAAAGGAAAAGCTTCAATTCCCATAATTTAGACAGCCGGATCACACTTCTTGCCAAAAAGCAGCTGAAGCCACAAACACAAAATGGGAACCTGAAACACAAACAGTCAAACTTTTAATATTTATTATTCAGACACTATAAAATGCATTGATAGTTTAAGACATGATCTCTGTTAAACTGCAACATATTTACAGTCCAGTCCTGCTTCAGGGGGGCAGAATCTTTACCAACTCAGATTTTCATCCTCGTCCGGGATCAATGAGCAAATGTACTTTGTACTGAAAACTCATAAACGCTTTGCCGCATATACTGTGGTGCAAGAGTGTGTAATTACTTTTTTATACTGCGGGCAGAGATATAATGGACATATACAGTCAGATTTTACAAAGACAGCTCATCCTGCAGTAACCTCGTAAACCCAAGTAACCGGCAGAGGTGTTACGCAAAAGAACGATAATATATGTTCCACTTGCAAGTATGTCAGGTGATCACAACTAAAATACTGAGGTGATAGCTTTTAAGGAGACCAGAGGCATTGACCACAACACCTGACCACAAAAAAGAAAAAGATTTGGGTTGTTTTCATATCAGTGAGGGGGGATTGTTTGCTCTCTGAGACGTTAAATGTGACCATATTGTGTCTTTAAAATCTTCATAGGAGCTTTTAAACAAGGCTCATTGATAATGCAAAAGATAAAGCTACCACAGAAACAGAAAATGTGAGTAGCAGCCATGTCTTAGTACTTGAAAGCACCAGGTCACTGTCAAGTATGATTACTGATAACAAAAACTGAAGCTTTGGCAGTTTTTTGCTGGGGTGTGTTAACAGAATGAAGAAAATATTCACAGGTTGGAAATGAAAAGAAAAAAAAGAACGAAAAAAAACCTAAAGACTCCTACAAAAAGGAAAATATGAATAATCAACACTTGTTTGGAAGGGTTGGTGAAAAGAATTTTTGAAAATTTTCATCTGAACCAACCAGAAGACTTCTGGAACAAACCGATGAGACCAAAGGGGAGGTATTTATCCAGAGCACCGTGTTTGGCAAAAACTGAACACAGCCCAAAGATTTAATACCAACTGCCAAGCTGGATCTTATTCCAGCTCGGGTCACGTTAGAGAACGATGACTCCAAGTTGAATAACAGAACGGCGGGAAAAAGAAAAGAATCAAAGTGTTGCAATGATTCAACCAAAGTCCAAACTAACTGAAAAGCTGTGGTGGGACCTGAACTTAGTTTCACAGGAGACAATGAGACACAATGTGAGGGAAAGTGGCGGAACAATCCTCTTCAAAAACACCAGAGACTGATGGAGGCTGTTAGGATTGTCATGTTATTGTTGCAAAATGTGTCTTTACAAACTGTTAGATCTCAGGCTGGCCCTGAGATCAGAAAAGCTGCCCGCCTGGTCAGAGATTTCATCTTTTTTACTCGAGATAGATGCCCCAGATCCTCAAATGAAGGCCTCATTTCCCTTTTAAACCGTGCTAACTGGGGACGGTAAGGATGAATGGAGGGCGACTGCCTGGTGAGACAGACAGATCTAAAGAGAACCAAATCAAAGATTTAGTAGGACTACAGCCCAGTAAATCAGTAAGTCACGAGCAGGTCACTTCTCACGGAAGTCCGACTGCCAGTGAAGCTTATCACTGGATTTTTTTCTCAGGTACATCAATGTTAAAAATTCACTAAGGATATAATAGAATGAATAATATATACTTAGATCCATAGACGATCAATACCTCCATTCATTTTTGGATCTAACAGGTCTTAACTTTATCATTACAGTCAAACAAAATCATGACGAGGAATTGTTACAAACACATGATAAGGTGGTCACACTCTCAGGTCAGAGTTTCCAGCCCGTGAGCCCAGTGAACAAACAGGAGCAAGGGCCAGGTCTGTAAATACTGAAAAGCAAACTGCCTGCAATTCTTTCTTTCCTTTTCCTTTGGCTACGGATTTGATCGGCGAAAGCGCATTGTCTTTCAAAAAACAAGAGGTAAATCTCAGACTCTTACCTTTGGTCCAGCAAATCTCTTCTAAGGTGTGTATCTGGGAGGGCGAACTGACGGGAGCAGAGGGCAGTTTTTATTGTAGGTGTGCTGACAGGAGGGCGTGTGTGGAGTGTGTTCATGCATGGACCAGAGGGTAAAGCCCACAATGTATTCCCTGCCCCAGACACACCGTTAAAAGCCCCTTTAGTTCGCTTTCCTGTACATCCAGTCAGATTTCACCTCCGTTTACAGTCCTTATTATCACGTCTAATGTTTACATTTTTAACTTCTGGGATAAGTCTTTGTGTTTCATGAGTCTATGGCAAAAGCAGGAGAATTTATGGCAGCATTAGAATATTTAAAGTAACAGCACCAGTTTCCCTGATGCTGAATGTTAACAGAGAGCTGATAGTGTAGAACACAATGAAATAAGAGAAAAACAATTGACAATTAAATCGAATTGGCTTTATCGGTTCATTATTCAGTTTTACAAAAATAGTTTTTGGGAAAAAGCAATAGGAAAACAATTGGATGTTAACTCATTTTGATGTAGTTCATGTTGGAAATTCATGATGATAGAAGAAAATGTTGAGAGAAAAAGATTTGACATATTAGGTCACTTTGCTTCAGCAGTTTGTGAATTGAAAAGGGTCAGGTACTGTTATTTCTGTAATATTAAGTAACACATACGTCTGCATCTGGTTGTTGTTTTTTCAAACTAGAACCACATCACCAAATACAGTGAACCTGTGTGTTGCATATTTGTGTTCTAATAATGCAACACTAATTCTAAAAAAGTTTATTTTTCTTCACAGCAGTGAAGAAAAACGAATCACAACTACCTCACACTGAAAAAAAAAACAAAAACACGCTTTCAGATAGACTCAACTCAGACTTATTCAGGCCCTGTGTTGAGTCGTGTACCAAGTGGTTTCACGAGGCACAAAGTTTCATAGAAATCTTTTAACTAACTAGTGCAAACCAGGAAACCCTGACAGTTCTTGAGATAATGACATTAAGGGTATTTCCTTTTTTTCACATTTGTTTTTTTCTTTTTTCTTAAAGAGTAACATTCGTTTGCATGTTGCAAATCAAGACTTGCTGTCAAGTCAGTGTCATGGTCAGTTTTGGCGTGTTAAATAATCTATAAATAATATACAATTCTATGAATAACAATCAGAAGGTCAAGTGTACCACTGAATGTATTTAAAGTAAGCCAAAGGGAACTGTTACTATTTGCCAGAGTTTAGCCGAAACAGGCATTTGATTGTTGTTGTGAAGGGAAAAAATATTAGAATTTGTCATTTGAGTCCACTCTTCTGTTTCTACTTCTGCTATCCACACTGAGTCTCCTCTGGAGCTATAAATCTTCATGAGGTGTTGTGGGCCGGCGTTTGTTCAGCCAGGCCTGCAGCAGAGGCAGGTTACTGTCCATCCAGCGGATGTTATCCTCGATGGTCTCATACGTCTGCTGGATGCATCTCATCTTTGAGCCCGTTTCCTCAGTCAAGGCGTCAAAGAAGCTTCGTATCTACGCATAGTGAAAAAAAAAACAAGTAGTTAATTCCACGTTTTTTTTTTAGACGAGACATTACCATTAGCTTCTCGATAAGAAAGACAGAAATATTGAGATATGAGGTCAAATGTCCTGACATCAGCCTTAAGTAGACACCTCCTGCAAAGATCATGTAAAGGGCATTACATAAAACTGCAGATAAGAGCAGAAATCAGATATCTGTCTGTATGTTTGAATATGTCAATATGTCTAGTAGAAGAAAAAAAAGCTTTGTGGAAGCTTCATAAGCAGGAAACAGGAAATATGACCAGAGGTTGCAGCTGCTACAGGTTTTACTAGTTACCAGATTCAAGATTAACTCCCTTTTCCAGCCTGTTCTGTGAGTCATTTCTCAGTGTGGTTCACAGAGAAAAGAGTGCTGCAGACATTCTTTGATAAAAGATTTTCATGAGTGAGAAAATGACAGCAAAGAGGGGAAGATGTGAGAGAGTAGTGGACTGTCAATAAGTTAACAATTAAAATTCTCATGCGGATGAAAGCAGCCCGACATACCTCCTGAAGCATTTCCCTGGTGGAGTACTGGTTGGTCACTCCATTCACCATGTAGGAGATGGTGCTGGAGCCCAAGTCAAATCTGTCAAATCAAAGCAAACATAAAAGGTGTTTTCCCGTGTTCGAATGAACCCTTCAAGTTGACATGCTGCCAAAGTGCCAGAATTGTTATTTAATAACTTGGAGCTGACTGACTTCTTTATGAGCGTGTGCCAGTTGGCTCGGAGGAAGTCCCATCCCAGTTTGTAGCCCCGTGGGTTCTTGCTGACAGAGACCACCACATCAGGGAGGTCCTGCGTCTTCATCACTTCCCCGAGGAGGCTCTGCTCCATCATCCTACGGGAAGGGTGTGAAAAGTGAGACCGGGGGGGGGGGGAACTAGCTTCCTTTTTGCATCCCAGGCTTCATAATCGGCAACTCACCATTTGAGTTTGTCCTGCAGTGGGCTGACGGTCATGGCAACCTTCAAGCGACTCTTGAGAGACATCTGCTGGGAACTGCGGTATTTCTCAAACAGGAAGTTCCACCCTTCAGGCGTGCGAGCTCCGATCACAAACACGGCCATTGTGACATCAACGGGGAGGCTGAAAACAGGGATGGAAATGTTTTATCTTTACATACAAGCTGCTATGAGCTGTTAAAGCTGTTTGGGACTGAGACCCGCCCCGACCTCATGGTTCCATCGGAGTCTTTCCACTGTTCAAAGAGCCGCGTGGCTTTGGCCAGGCAGGGGGCGTGGTTCCTGACGCAGGCGAAAAGCAGCAGGTAACTCCGCAGCACTCTCTCAGACACTGAGCCTGAGTCGCTCCACTCCTGCCGATCAATCAGACCGCGGAACAGATCCACGATGTAGGTCTGAGGGACACAAGTGAACGCTGTCAGTCAAGTCAAGTCAAGTCAAGTCAACTTTATTTATATAGCACATTTAAAATAACCAAGGTTGCCAAAGTGCTGTACATAAAAAGCATATATATGTGATTTTAATGTAAAAAATAAATAAAAATAATAAATAAATAAAGATGTTAGCTCCAGATGTTAGCAGAAAACAAAGAAAGTAATCAAATGTTCTGCACTTCTAGATCGTCTAAGATATAAAATTAATGAGAAAAATAAGAACATTACTTTAGAACCTGTTAGAACATTTGTTAAAATGAATCTTGGTTTGTCACCAAGAATCTTGAAACTGTTTATTTTCTCAAATGAACATGAATGACCCACAGACCCGGATCTTGTCAGGATTTGACGCTAAATGAAAAGCTTGTATATTCCGCCTCACTTTCATCTGGTTCTCCAGCGTGGCCATGTCTCTCTTCTCCATCAGCTTGTAGAGGGGTACGAGCTCCCCGAAGCCCTGAGTCACGGCCATTATCTCCGTCTCCTTGGACAGGTACAGGGACAGCTCCAGGGCGGTGTCCAGCTTCACCTTTCCGACACTGCAACGCACAGGACAGCCTTCAAATCTTCGGCCTTCCAATCACAGCTGCCCTTCCTCGTATTTTCTCATTCAAGGAGACTTTAAACCAAGCCAAATTGCTTTTCCTAAAGTTCACAAAATGTAAAGTCTCTGTGACCTGACTGATTCAAATGCTTCACACATGAGTACTGTGTAATGGCGGTAAAGCTTTGGATTCGGCTGCCGATGCGGGAAACGGACCTGACCAGCTGGAAGATGTTGTGGATGAGGCTGGCCCGATCGTTGCCGCTCAGAGCGGTGTGGTTGTGCTGCAGCAGTCTGATTACGGAGTTCCAGCCCTCGCCGGCGTAGTGGACCATGTAGTAGCCGCTCATGTTCACGTTGAACTTCACCCAGTCCACCTCCTCTGGCAGGTACAGGACATCTGAAAGGCATAAACATGGACAAGTCCTGAAGTGATGGGGAACCGAAGCACTGCAACAGCAGGTGGGGACTGTGAACTCTCTCAGAGCAACACACACACACCGGTCTTTGTTTTGAGCAGGAAACGGTGGATGTGGTTGGAGGAGCTGGTCATGTAGGTCAGTGGGATCTGCCATAGGAACCTATCACCACACATATTGACACAGATAGTAAGCATGTACTGCAATTTTCTGCTCAGTATAGAATGACAAAATTATATCTGTTTAAAAAACTGTGCAATATTTCACTTACCCTTCAGTGAGTGAGCGGTCGTCTGTCCGGAGGTATCGCTCCTGGCTAAGTCTGACCTCCCGACCTCTGACCTCCACAGTGACAAGGGGGAAGCCCTCCTGCAGCGTCCACGAGTCCATGATGGCCCTGACATCCAGCTCATCGCCCGAGTACCACTTCTGTGGATCCACAGCCTCATGAGATGCACTGTTTCATTCTACCTTCTAGCTGGAGAGTTGTTTTTCTTTGTGGCACCATCAAAACATGACTTCTTCTCAAATTATATCTCCACGTGTTAAGATTGCTTCCAGTATGCTTTGTTAAAAAAAACAAAAACAAAAACAACAACAACAACTCACAGAGACTCCTGCTTGGAGCTGACGTTTGGAGCAGAATTCAGTGTGTTTAATGCGTCCTTCATCCAAATCATCAGAGCTGCAGATCTGGAAAAAAATAAAATAAAATTCAGCAAGGAATCTATACACCAGGAGAGTACTATGGGCCTTCAGCTCCACACGGACACTGTGACGCCTCTTCCTGTGGGGTGGGCTGGGAAGCAACCGTTAATAACAGCTCTGAGATTCACTGCATTGTGGTCTTGTTCAATTCAGCTAAGAATAAAGATACAAACAAAAACAGCCGCCCCAACTTTCAATCATAACTTTAGACGATGCCCACATTATTTTCAAGCTCTTTATCTCCTTTGAAAAACAAAAGAAAAACACAGCTCATGTTCATCCCTTACAAAAAATCTGACACCCAGCACCAACCCTGGTCACAGCACTCACATCAGTCAGGCTCTCCCACAGGTGGCTGTTCACAGTGTTTTGGTAGCTGTAGCGCTTCAGATATCTGATGATTCCGATCTCAAAGGCCTCAGGAGTGATGAAGTCTCGCAGCATATTTAGAATACACGCTCCCTAAAAAGTGCAAACCAAAGCACAGGTAGAATGACAATGAACGTTAGTTAGAAAAAAGGTTTGCTGTGTCATGATTTACTGACGCCATTTGTCAATTACTTGTATTGGTAATATATCCTGTATACTTTAGGTGCCCGGCCCTCAGGCAGAAAGATGCTGACCTTGTCGTATGACACATCATCAAACATCTCCTGGATCTGGGTGGGGTTCTCCACGGGGGTGGAAACGGGGTGGGAGGAGCTGAGGGAGTCTACTTCCATAGCCTCAAAACATTTGCCCAAGAAGAAGTCATCCTGAAGCAGAGACAGTGACAATATAACTCATGTAGTCTTATCCAACAATCGCTGTCCTCTCCAAGAGTTTTTCATCCGATATGCGGCAGTTGCACAAATAATTAAGGTATTATTTGCTTTGTGTTTTTAAATAAAGTCACTTCTGTTCAACCTGAAGGGAAAGAAGCAGAGAGGTGGTATGCATGAGAGGAATAAAAAACCCGTTCTGTGGGCTCAGCTCTCACCACATGAAGATCTGGGTAGGTGATGTCAAGGGAAATAAACTCCATAAACTTGGCGAAGCCTTCGTTGAGCCATAAGTCATTCCACCACTCCATCGTTACCAGGTTCCCAAACCACTGGTCAGGTAAGAAAACATGTCAAAAACACTATTTAACAAACTGATTTTCACCTACTGTAATAGAACAAAATCTGTGACTGCTGCACATGCCGAAACTCTACTTGGCACCTTTGTGTCTTTTGTCTTTGCACAAAATGATGAGTGAGCTATCTCTTAATCCAACAGGCCGGCTACCTGGTGAGCAAGCTCGTGTGCGATGACCTTTGTGATGGCCAGTTTGTCAGAGGCAGAGGACTTTTCGGGGTTGAAGAGGAGGCCGGTCTCCCTGTATGTGGTCAGCCCCCAGTTCTCCATCGCACCGGACTGGAAGTCAGGTATGGCAGCCAGGTCTGCAGGGAGCAACACCGAGCACACAAACAACCGGAGATTACACATTTTTTACACCAAATGGCAATCTACAATCTATGCAAATATATTCTAATATAGTTAAACAGATACAAGATATCTTCCAGTCTTGGGATCATAGAATCCTTACTTATACTGTCCTTAGTCTATGGAATTGATCTGATCTATCCTTAAACTGAGAACAAATAATATATTGGTAAATTCTTTGTGCTTTTTTTGCTTTTAAATACATATTGTTGTTATTGCTGTTCAACTTTTCATAGCATAAGAAAATCTTCACTGACCCTGTTTTGGAAGTGGGTAAGGTATATCAAAATAATCATCATAAAAGTCCAGCAGCTTGACTGCAGCATCCAGAGCAAAGGCTGTCTGGTCAATCTTCTCGGGGACAGCATAGACAGAAATCTAAAGGGGAACACAGCAAAGAACATGAAGAACTTGTTACACTTGGTTTAAAAAAAAACACAACCTCTCTAAAGGTTTCTTTATTTAATACTGTATAGAGGACGTTTCTGTTCAAAATAAACTAAACCAGCCTCACTTTGACACCGTGCTGAGTGGTCTTGCTCACAGACAGGAAGTCCGACACGATGTAGGCCACCAGGTAAGTGCTCATTTTCACAGTCGTGTCAAAGTAATCCTCAAGCAATCCACCTGGAAGCTCCACTGTTTTCACCTGACACACACAAAAGAAAAGAAAGTCAAGCGAAGAAGGAATGTTCAAACAGCACAACTATATTTTTCTGTTTCATTTTTTGGACCTTTTCACTGTTTTGACATCGAGTTTGATGGCCTGATTGAGGGATAAAGTTTCTCTGAGCAGTCATCCATACGCCTGAATAAAAAGTACCTTGGGCATGTTGGAAATGGCAATGTGGCGTGGCTCTCTTATAATCTGGATGGTGAAGTTAGCCTTAAAAGCGGGCTCGTCGAAACATGGGAAGGCTCCACGAGCAAAAGTCGCCTCAAACTGCGTAGATGCCATGACCCTGAGTGAAGGAAAACAGCCACATGTACAACATATCGCTGAGAAACAGAAATGGATAAATCAAATACACAGCAACGCTTAGGGGTCTTACCGGACTTCCCCAGTGCTGGTGCGGTAGCTGCTCTTGTAGAATCCGTGGTAGCTGTCAGACAAATTGGCAGCAAACTCCAGCTGGACTTCATACTTCCTACCTTTGGTCAGCACTGAGTCTGAGAGCAGGGCGAGCTGGTGGAAGAGAGGATACTCCAGCACTTGCAGGGGCCTGATGCCTTCAGGTGCCAGGAGCAGGGCGTTGGATATGTGAAGATGCTTGGCATGTAGGATCACTGCTTTGGTGTCCTCGTGCACATCCAGTTCTATGCGAACCACACCGGTGAAGTCAAGAGTTGTGAGGTTGGGGTGAATGCTCAGGTCGTAATGGAGTGGCGAGATGACTTTGGGAAGCCTCATGCGGTCCCAGGGGAACATCTGGCCATTCGTGGCTCTGGGGAACTCTTTCGTTTGGGCTTGATTTGGTATCTGAGCTCCAAATGATGGAGGAAATGGCACAAGGAGCACCATCAAGAGTGGAAACATGGCGGCTCTCACAACAGGAAACTCTTACCTGAAACATGGGTGACACAACACCACATTTCACGTCAACATCACACTTGTTTGAACTATTGTTTGAAGACATACTTGAACGGTAACACGAACGATATGCAAGACAAAGAACAGGGAAGTGGGAAAGCAACACTTTCGATTTCATACATAGCCTATCTGTTTTGATAAATGGATTTAAGAAAAGAAAAACTCCTATATCAGCCCAAAAGAGGAGTCATACGAGCTGTTGCTGAACAACTATCATACCACATCTACATTGACAATATATGTGAAGCTTTACTTTACCGTGTCGTTCTCTGTTCGTTGTCTCAAACGCTGCTAGACTGAAAGTGAAACAGAAGAGGGCAGAAGAAATGCATGCCGGGACAACCAGAGAAGCCCTTCAAATAAGCTTTTCCAGTGTAACCAGCAGCTCTGTGACATGACGTTTGAAATGTTTTACCTAAAAGCTTCTTTCCACGGTCTACAACACACATAGCTCGTGTAATTCTCAATAATGACAACCTCCGACGTAGCTTTTTTTTTCAAATTCAATGTCCGTGACTTCGACGGAAACCTTTTGACTGTTTTAGTCAAAGGTTGGATCATTGTTTAGCTCAGTGGACACAAAAAATGTACACTCGCAGCTGTATCGATTCGTTTAAATGAGACAACGGAAGTAAGGACCCGGAAGTTGTATGTTACCATGACAACAAACACATGTGACAATATTTCCCCAGCAGAGGGTGCACAATTCCCGAGAAGAATTGGACCTGAGGTGTGGACTTTCCAAAGCAAAGAGGAAACAGTGGTAAACGTAATAAATACAACATATTCACAGCTGTTAATATTGTGTATAATCTTTAATTTTCTTTCTTTTTTTCCTTTTTTTTAACCAAGACAAGTTCACTATTGGTGATACATGTGCTCGCACTGATGCAACTTGAATGTACAATTCATAAAGTTACCCATTTTTTTAATCAGTACAAGCTAAAATGAAGTTCCTGTTTTTTTGCTACAAATATGTCCCTTTTGGGGAGCTTTTGCATTCGTTCGCAAGTTTAATGTCCTTCATCATCAAAGTTTCTTCTGAAGTCCCATCTATCAACCAACAGGGCTTGTAAAATCTGACACTAATTTGATTAATTGTTAACATACAGACACAGAAGTAATTTGCAACCTTGTACAGCTGAAAAATAAAAGTTAGATTAATGACATTGCCAAATCATCTCAGCCCTCAAAATAAAATGAAAGTTAACTGGATGATGATTCATCTGATTTGTCTCCTTGTTCTTTAAACTATTTATCTCTTACAAAAAATACCAAGTCTTTCTTTAGCTGACCTGAATTAGAAGTTGAAATGAGAATTAAAGTCAGAAATGGAAAAAGTGTGAGTTTGAACAACAAAAAGAGAAAAGAAAGCATTTGGATATGCACTCGTACTCGTGCAGGAGGGGGTAAAGTCCATTGTGGCTGCAAACATTAATGAGTAAACTTTACAGTCACTGTCCTCGGAGAGGTGACTTCATCAGCCGCATTTGTGTTGTATTTAAGAATCAGATGCAAGTATTTCCTGCAGCATATCACGGATTCATGAGCAGCACCCAAGCCCTGAGAGACGTTGGATCTTTGTGAAAGCTTGTAAACCTCCTAGTGCTGACTTGGTCTTACTTAGGTTAATAATGATAAAGCAGGCATTGCTAGGTATTCTGTGTGGGGCTGCTGTACTGACTGTTGGCATCCTGATCGGACACTATGGCATCGAGAAGAGCAGCGACTCCTCACCATCCTGGGTGAAGGATGTGGCAAAGGACGTGGATGAAGACCTCATTCAACAGTTCATGTCTGAGGTGGACAACATTGAGATACAGGAAAACCTGAGGTGAGCTTTTTGGTGATGATTGCATTTAAAATTATTCCATTTTGGGGTTTCTCGACCTAAACCTGCCTCAATCCATGTCTTCTTCAACAGGGAGTTGACTAAAGTGCCCCACATGGCCACCACAGCTGGAGATGAGGTAACAGTACAGTTTATGCTGAAGAGATGGCAGGACCCTGAAAATGGTTTGGATGCAGCCTGGAGAGAGGAATACAAGGTGTATCTGTCATTCCCTGACCCCGATAACCCCAATAAAGTCACTGTGGGTAAGTGAGATGAATCTTTAACATCTTGGAAAGGGAGAAAGGAATGGTTGCCACATCTGTCATAATTCAGCCTCACTTTAAATTAGCATTAAATTATCTTTGACATAAAGTTTAAGGAAGTTTGGGGAAGAATTGTAGGTAGGAAAATAAACACAATGATTGTTGTTGATGAGACATCAAATGATTAAACAGAGGTGGTCAATTGAGTTTTTTTCACACATTTAAGAATTTTTGTGAGAGTATGTAGCCTGTGGGTTTCATCACTTGTTCATTTTAGTGAATCCAGCGAATACGGTGCTCCACACTGTCAGAGAAAAGGAGAAAACGTATACTCCAGACCAGGATGATCCTGCTGTGGTTCAGCCATACGCTGCATACTCTCCTGCCGGAAACCCAAAGGTAAAAACATTTCCCGTTCACATTTATATTTTCCCAGATGCAATCAACAAGGATGTGTCCCCAGCACACCGTAAAACTTTACTTGTGATTAACTTTAATGGCCAGCTTTAAACCTCTTATATTATACCTCTTAAAATGACTCTGTAACTGGAAAAACACTGCACTCCACAGTTAATTGTTTTGTTTTTTCTTTAGACTATTTTTTCTTCTTTGGATGGGGAAAATAAACACTATCTTAATCCAAGTTAAATACATATAAAGCTTTATTTAGTACTATAGTTTTTATTTAGAAAGTCATGTACATCAGTAATCTCTGGTAAAAAGTCAAGTCTATAGTATAACCTTTCTATATCGATACAACGCAATTTTTTTATATCTCTTGAGTGGAGGGGGAAAAGTATTTCCTATTTATAAAAGATTATGTACAATGACAAAGAGTACTAAAATAAGTTGACATAATACACAAGTATACTGTGTAAAATTAAGAAGGCCAAATAGCAGAAAGACAGAAGATGTGCATTGATCAATTATTGACAGTTGTTTTACTGGTGTCAGGAAATGGATTTCCTAACAAACAGAGCATCCTCAAGGTTGAAACCTTTTGAATGTCTAATCAAGATCTGATAACAACCTCTTACGAAGACAGAGTTAGTTAACCATCATCTTTTACGCCTGGAATCATAAATTTAAAAAGGCTCTGTGAAGTTTTATTGACATGAGTTTACTGAGATACATTTTAGCTGTTGCTGTTGACAGAAAATTAAACCTTCTTTGTCTGGCTATGTCTTTAAGACGTTCGTCCTCTATATATTCTTTTCTTAATGCTTCTTAATGCTCCTTTTACTCCCCACTATAATGCTTATACTCTATGTAAAGCAATTGTTTGTATGCGAAAGGTGCCAAACAACATTTTACCTTTGTCTTTATCTCATTTCAGGGGAAACTGGTTTATGCTAATCAGGGGAAACCAAGTGATTACGATCATCTAAACCAGACGACGGACCTCAGAGGAACCATTGCTATTGTCAGATATGGTGGAGCAGGTAGAGGAGCCAAAGTGAGTCTTTGTTTGTTTGATTGCTGTATTTTCTAAGGGCATGTTTTAAATGGGTACAAATCTTTAGTGGTGAGGGTCATACAACCAAAACAGATTTTTCCTTGTACTGCCTATACATGGGGCATCAATCTGACCTTCATGAACAAATCCACAAAAACGAGGCAACCCTGAGAACAAAGGCACTAAATAAAGAGACAACATTCAAAAAGGTCCTTAACAGCCACAAAAATTCAAAAAGATCTAAAATCCACCGTTGCATCCTAACTTACAAACTACCAGACACAAAAAGCAACTTCTCCACAAAAAGATGGGTTTGTTTGAATATATTTCTACACATTTTGTTCCCGATTAAAATCTTTGGACATCATGTTTCTAGGAAAAAGCCCACTGAGCTGCAGTCCAAAAAAATCAAACACAACTTGTCTTCATTGCGTGTAGTGGGAGAACTTCTTGAACAAAAGTACAATGTAGAATAGCCTATTCTTTATTGAGAAAATTCAAAATAATTCAGCGATAAGTAAAGAAGTCATAATCTAAACTGTCTGTTTTTTTATCCTTAGTCTGTTATGGGTATAAATCTAGTAGGTATACTCTGACTTCATCAAAACGTGTAAACCAGTGTTACATCACTAATAATCCGGCATCACTACTTGCTGTGTTTTTCTCATCCAGGCCATCAATGCAGCCCCCTATGGCGTAATCGGTGTCCTTGTCTACACAGATCCTCTGGACATCAACGATGGTCTCATGTCCGACGTCAATGAGACGTACCCTCACTCCTGGTACTTGCCGCCCTCCGGTGTAGAGAGAGGTTCCTTTAACAGTGATTTTGGAGACTTGCTCACCCCCTACCTGGCTGCCAAAGGTAATCTGTTTTGACCCACAGTACAGCCTCAGACATATGATGAGTGATAATTATTTGGTCAACTTTAATAACGAAAAAACGTATAATTTTTCAGAGGAAACCTACAGAATCCCCACAGAAAATATAACAGGAATCCCCCCAATTCCGATTCAACCAATCGGATTTGAGGATGCCTACATACTGATCTGGTTTGTGAAAACCTGTGTGTATAATGTTTCTATCAAAATAGCTATTTATGACTCAAATCAAGTCATTTCTATCCTTTCTATCCTTTCAGTGAATTGGGTGGAGGTGCAGCTCCAAATGACTGGCAGGGAGGATTCAACTGTACCTACAATTATGGTGGTCCAGGATTCAAACCAACATCTGCTTTCAACAACAGGTCCACAGTCCACAGAAAACTTTCAACAAGTAGCTTTTCACTAAATCTTCCCTATACCTGTAATACCCTGCACATGTGTGCATCCTACACATTCTGAACAGCTGAAACTCGCTTTACTTTCACTTCATCTCTTCATCATCATGTTTTTCTCTCCATATTGCCAGCTTTTACAGCTCAGTTTCTCATTAGAAAGCTCAAAAGTATTTAGCTATTTTAGCCTTTTACATCTTTTGGTGATCGCCAAATAGTCATGTGATCACCATGTTCATAGAATGAACAACATGGTAGATTGGACATTCAAAATGAAATAACAAGCAATACGAGAACCTCCTAGCAAAGCCCTTTTTTGCACTTGGTGCCAACAAGCATGCGAAGTGATCTAATCCAAATTGTGTAGCACTAAAGAAAGTTTCTTAGGTGTGTAAAGGACCCATATCACTCCCCTGTATCGTCTAACACTTCTCTAATTAACCTTGTTGCAGTGATGTGAAAATGGACATCTTCAATCATGAAACGACGACAAACTCCTCAAATGTGATGGGAGTTATCAGAGGAAGCGTGGAGCCTGGTAAGATGAGTGGCTGAAGGAAAAAAACGGCAACGCTGTAGCATCTATCTGTCACGTTACTGTGAGTGCTGTGTGTTCCCGTCCGCAGACAGGTATGTGATTTACGGGAACCACCGGGACAGCTGGGTTCACGGCGCCATCGACCCCAGCAGCGGAACATCGGTCATGCTGGAAATTACCCGGGTGCTGGGCAGGATGGTCAAGCAGGGTGAGGAGAGTCGAGGCGAAAGGAGGAGTGCTTCTTTTTGTTTTGAGCTCGACGGCTCATCTTCGTGCCCCTCTTTGGCAGGCAAATGGAGGCCTCGTAGGTCCATCATCTTTGGGAGCTGGGGAGCGGAGGAGTTTGGCCTCATCGGGTCTGCAGAGTACACAGAGGTGATCCCCATTTCTGGTTGTGGTTCCACCGTGGCGTTGCACGTCTATTAACCTACACACAAAAAAAAATCTGATCTCTCCTTCAGGATTACTTCACAAAGCTCAGTGAACGCACCGTTGCTTACATAAACGTGGACATAGCTGTCTTTGGTAAGAACCTTCCAAATTGTCAGTATATTCCTGTTTGTAATAATAAATGAAAAAACATTCTAATTACATGGTGGTTTATAGTAATACAGTGGTAATAACAGAATACCTTGGTTTACAGTTTCCAATTCACTTTCGCTCAAACATAAATGTCTGAAGGAATCTACAGGAGTTTTGAGGAAAAACTATTCATTGGTGTATTGAGTTAGTTTTTCCACGTAAAATCAGCAGATCCATGTCAGTCCTTTTGCTTGTTCTCTTCAGCCAACGCCACCCTCAGAGTCTCAGGCATGCCATCGATGCAGAATGTCATCTTCCAAGCCACAAAACAGGTCAGGCTTTTAAAAAGACTTCCACCAGCACCCTCGTTCCTCGTCTTTTGAACAATAGTTCTGTTCCCATACAAATTTATCACATATGATGTGTTTGCTGACCAGGTCAGCGCGCCCGGACTGAGCTCCACATCTGTGTACAACAACTGGATACGTTACTTCAACAGGACGAGCCCAGCCCACGGACTCATTCCCAAGTACCTCTATTATGTTTTTATTTACTTTCTAAAAGTTGATCTCACCAGTCTTTCTCAACCCAGGTCCTCAGGGCCCATAAGCCTGTGTTCGGCCATTTTTACCTGATTCAAATGAGAGTCTTCATCAGCCCTCTGCAGAGCTGAAGGCCTAAGGAGCTGATCCATTTATTTGAATCAGCTGTTATGTAACATGGAAAAGCATGCAGGACTGTGGGCCTCTAGGACCAGGCCTAAGAAACACTGTTCCAGACCCTGAGCCTCATCTTCCTCAGAAGCTGGGGAAGAGTGGAAAATTCAAACTAACTAATACATCCTGCACGTCAAATCTCATCACATTTCTCGTCAGCAACTCTGTGAATTGGATATCCTGAAGAATTAAAACTGTTTCTGAAATGTGGTTATGGTACATTTTGCACTGGGAATGGTGTCAAATTAATCTAACATTGAAAGGAACAGTTTGCTGTAGTTTTTTGTAAATAATGCTTCACGTTTTCTTTCTTCCTTTGACAGTGTGGGGTTTCTAACAGGAGCAGGAAGTGATTACGCTGCCTTTGTCCATTACCTGGGAATCACCTCCATGGATATGTCATACACATATGACCGGGTATTGCAATGACTGCGACCACAAAATAATTAAAATTGCCTGTGTTGAATGCAGAGTGTATTGAACAAGAATATTTAAAACTCTTTCTCCCAGGACATGAGCTACAAACAGTCCTTTTTCTTATTCAAAAAGTTGAATGAATGATGTAAAAACAAAATGTAATGTGCATAATTTCTCCTCTGACAGAGTAAAACCAATGCTCGGATTTACCCTGCTTACCACACAGCCTATGACACTTTTGACTACGCTTCAAAATTCATCGACCCCGGTAGGCATCACTTGTTCTTTATTTGTCTTTCATTCACGGCCACTGCATTTTGAGTTTGATGCTGTGTGCACATGATATTTTATACTACTCAAGCACCTGATGCGTGCCATTAAAAAGCCTTGTTTTTCCCAGCCATTTATTTTTATTGAGTCTATTTGTCAGATAAGACTAAAGGGTGCATAATTTTCCTTATGGACCCAATGCATCAACCCCGCCTCTTCGTCCTTTCAGGATTTACAAGTCATCAGGCAGTCGCCAGGACAGCAGGAAATATTCTGATCCGACTAGCTGATAGCTTGGTTCTGCCACTGAACTATGCAGACTACGCCGAGAGTCTGGAGAGGTACCTGGAAGTGGCAGTCAATCTTTATGAGGAGCAACTTCATGCTAGGAATATCTCCATGGGTAAATCACTGTACTGCCACAATGATCTGTTTGAGGCGTAACTCCAGCTTTAAATTGTGGGATAGCTTAATGTCCCAGTTGTGTCGATTACATTATTACAGATTTGATTTTTACTTTACTGATTTTTAGGCTTTGTCTACAGCCCCTGTACTTTATGAGCAAAGAATGCGTCATCAGTGACAACTAAATTAGTTATGTGGATAGAGTTGATGTTGGGAAAAAGCTGTGGTGAAGGAAAGTAAAAATATCCGGAAAATCATACTGCCAAACAGAGTCAGTGGATGGCAAATAAAAAAAAAGGAAAGTGAAGGAACATAACAGTAATATGCAGGCATCCCTGTACCAGATATAGAAAAGTTGGAATAGTTTATTGCAGTTTTGCACGTCAGGGAAACTGGTTACAGTTATAAAAGGGTATTACAGAAATGGAAAAGCCCGAAGAGAAGGAATTAGCTAACAGGGATTCGGGCACGTTGATGCTGGACTGGCAAAAAATGTGAGTCATTATAGCCGCTCACACTGTTGTACGACTTCCCCACACTCAGTTAACTCATATTATGTCAGATTTTGAGCTTTTCTAACATAATGCAAGCAGAAGAATGTTTTTTAACCACAATGAGACAACAAAAAATGGAAGAAGTGGCATTTTGTTTGCTAGATTTGAAATTTGGACAGTGACAGAGCCACTGAGTACAGAAGAGGAAATGATAGAGTACAGATAGGAAAATTCCCATCCTGTGAGGCATGAGATGACCTCACGGAGAAACTAAGAATGAATTATGTAACTGTGACAAAAATTTGAATAAATGTGTTAAGCATTTGTTTGAATATATATCTAGGAATCTGTTTTAATTTAGATTTTCCTGTGTCATAAAATGAGAGTGAATGACGTTAGTGATTCGTGTTTCCTTCCAGAGCCACTAAAACTTGCGGTTGCCAGTTTTCGCAGAGCGGCCGATCATTTGAACCAAGTGATTCAGAGCTCAGACCTTCCAAACCAATCGTAAGCGCACACTCAGGCACGTTGGCTGCGCGTCTTCTCTCACAAAGAAAACAATACCACGCCATTAATCTTTCCCAATCTTTTTTACTCAGGCCCCTCATGGTCAGAAAGATCAATGATCAACTTATGCTGCTGGACCGAGCGTTTCTGAATCCACTGGCCTTCCCAGACAAATACGCATTCAGGTCAGGACATGTGTCATTTTTCTGGGCATGGGGGGTATGAATTAGCATCGAATTGTTTCAACTAGCACAACTATAGTCTGGACATTATGACACTGACATTTAAAGTTGTGAAACTGTTGTCTTACCGGTGTCATGATGCTATGGACACGGTCAATTATGAGGATAGACATTGTGAAGGAAGAAGAAAAAAAGACTTTATTCAGTTGCATCGTTGTCATCCTGAAAGATGCTATTTTGGACATCATTACCATGGTTACTATTGATGTTTTACAAAAATCCAATTTAAAGGAATTTTTAATAGAAACATCAACCGGAAAAGATAAAATTATCCAGGAGTTGCAAAAGTACCTGCAGTCAAGATATTCAAAAGGCAAATCCAGAAACAGAAGCAGACACTGACACATGATAGGATGACAACTAAAATCTTTCAAAATCCCTCTTCATCTTTCTCCTTGTTGCATTAAGGGTTGTCTCAGACGTAGTCACAGCTGTTTTCTGATTATTTGTGGCAGAAAAGCGTCTCATGCGCGTGTTGTTTCCTCCTCTGTGAAACAGGCATGTGATCTGGGCTTCAAGTAGTGCTGGCAGGCCCACATTTCCAGGCCTAGCAGACGCCTTTGCCAACGCTGACTGGGAAAAAGCGCACTACCACGTGTCGGTGTTGAGTCAGGCCATCGATGGAGCGGCCAACATTTTAACGGACGTCATATAAGCACAACTGAGGAGCGATAAGCTGCATCCATGTAACATGAATGGATTTGGATTTATCCTGTCTTCAATTTTAAAAAAAACCCTTGAAAGCTAGATGATATTACGAATATCTGATTTAATATATGTTTCTTCTTTAAATTACCAGTAAATAATCTACGCATTCTGGAGACTGAGATGTAATGTTATTGAGTTTCTAATGGCTGTTTTATTGTAAAGTTTTCCGTTTTATTGTTGTGTTGTGTTTTGCTCCTCAGGGGCCTCAAAATTTCTCAGGCACACACACACAAAAGTATGATTCTTCACAAACACCTGGCTGTGTTTTTTACATTTGTAACCTAAAAAATAAAGTCTGTTTGAACAATCAGCAAAGGGGAATGCGACATGAATAGGATCTGTGTGCGCCAGAAACATTTCATCCGCAGCCACGCTCAGCAGTCGTACCCCGGAGCCTCCTGACAGACCCCAATGAGGAAAGCAGACACCGTCGCTCTGATTGAGACTAGTCTACTGCACCTTTTCTAGATCCAGAGTTTACAATTGGAAAAAAACACGACCATCTGAGGACCAAACTGAATATCGAGTCGAAAAAGCGCAATCATTTTTTGACAGAATGTGGTTCAGAATGCAGAATTTTTTTAAAAACCGGAGGTTACGTCCCACAGAAGGCCTGTGTAGTGCCACATCCTGCCTCCAGGGGTCAGGAAACGTTGCGAGATTTAGACAATACAAAGACAGACCTCAGATGACACAGCCAAAAGTCCCTGTCCTCAGAGGTAATGATAGTAACCTTATACAATTTGAAATACTGAGGGGAGGGATGTTAAAAAAGAATAAAAAAAGAATAACAAAAGCTTTCTCTGTCTGGCTGAGCTTTACAGTGTTGAATAAACTCATGAAAACCACTTGAGATGCTGCAGAGAAAGAGCGGTTGGATGGTTCATTTATCTTTAACATATATACAGAGACCCTAAAAAAGCAGTTTCTAGTTTATTTTTAAATGACAGATGTTATTACGATGTGGGTAATATGGAGTTACGAGTCATGTAGCTGTTAAGTGAGCTGCAGGTTGTTGATATTTCTAACAGACTTAATGACGTCATTTGGAAGAACAAAAAGAGAGCAATGACACCATTAATCACAAGCACTAGATTATTCCTCCCATCCTAACAACTGTATTTCAGGAGTCGCTGGCTTTTTATGAGATGTAAATAACAAAGCTATTCAGTATTTTTAACTTTCCCCCCTTAAGCCAAGCAGCGTGAATCATTTTACATGCACACAGTTTAGGATGAATGTTTACAGATCTGCTCTCAGCGGCCAAAGATGGTTCGCTTTAGCCTCTGAATGTTTTTTATTGGTGGAGAAAGAACATTATTGCTTCAGAGAATGTCCAACTGATTTATTTTAAGACCCTCAAGCTGTTTCCTTTAGTTAATCAGCATGAGTTTGTTTACAGTGATTTGCATTAGAAATGTCACAAATTCAACCGTTTTTCGTCGATCAACTTTAGGTTTTACACACTGACACTAACATACCATAGCGGAAAGCACTCTGCTGGTTTATTTAGCCAATGAAAGTTATGTTGAAAAAAGCAAACATTGTCATTCAGTTTTGACTAAAATAATCCACACAGTTCCCACAGCAGAACAATGACAAAAAACTAAATAAACTAAACAAAACTGCTTCAGAAACAAAACTGATGTGCCCTGTTGGCATATCTGGGAAGCAAATAGTCTAAATAGCAGCCATGAAAAAACCCAATCATACAAATCATTTCAGAAATGAGACATCTCAGGAAATCCTGGTCATTATTAGCCAGATGGCCGATAGTGTTATGGCTGATTCTTTGTCTCCAAGGCCGATAAACTCTCTGCTGCTGGAAAAATAAATGATTAAATGACCTTTTGAGCAGCTGCTGACAAAATCTTTCACCAAATGTATTTGATCAACATTTAGGAGTGAACTCAGATAATTCTGATGTTATAGTTTGTATTTCATACCGGAATGCATCACATACTTTTAACTAATTTGTTGTACAGAAAATTAAACAGGTTAGGCCAGCCATAATATATGGTATATAATTCTTAGTAGAATGACGATATGTTGGTGGTGTGGCATGGAGGCGGTCAAAGACGACAACAAGCACGGGTTTTACTCGCCAGTCGCAGAGTTTATTCTTTTAAATATACAGACTTCTCCCTCCCATGTTAAATACCCCCTCACCCTTCCCTCCCACATCATATCCCTCCCTCAATCTCCTTTTTGCTTTCTTTGTTCTACCCCTTCAAAAGAAAGCTTGTCCAAGCTGAAAAACACACTCTACTTTGTGCAGCATATTGCTTATTAAGACATTTGCGAAAAACATAAATTAAAAATACTACAGTTTGTCTTTTTTTTTTTTACCCCCCTAACATCAGAGTGTTCAGAACAGGATCTATATGAAAAGAAAAAAAAAAAAAGAGAGAGAAAACAGCACAGTGTCCCTCAGTCTGGCTACATCAATGGAACTGGATTCCCATGTTTCCATGGCATGTGTACACAGTGGTCTGTACCGGGACAGGTCAAATGGCAAATGGACAAATTTATTCCTTATCAAAACTACTGAGTTTAGTCAGATAACGTATGTGTCATTTTAGAACACACCAAGTCAAGTCGACTTGATTCTATTACAGCTTTTTCTTTCACTAGTGTTTGTGTCTCTGCTCATCTTTTTTGAGAGTTTGTTTAAGTGCTTCTCATATCTCAGTCTGGGGCGTGGATCTCTTTTTGGGACTTTTTTTTTTTTTTCGAACTTTTTTTTTTCTTATTAAAAGAAGAATAGTGAAGCTAAAATCTTTTTGGTCCCATGTGGCGGGTTTGCTGCTGCAGGCAGAGTGAAGGACAGTGTGACACGGCACTAGAGGAAAATTCAGGTGTTAAAGTCACAAGGCATGCATGTTAACACTGTACTCAGAGAGAGTCGCCGTCCAAAGTGTTCCTGCTGCGGTGCGTGCAGAATGTGGCGTGTGAGAGGGTCTGTTTTGTTGTGTGTCTTCATTTGTGCATTTCTGTCCTTGTTCAGATGGAGATTTTTGAAAAAGTCCTGCTTTTGATTGCGTGCACGCTGGACATCCCCAAGACTAATTCTCTAATCGTTTGAACTTTTTCCGATGACAGAAGAACTGCCCTTTCTGCTCAGTGATTCGCAGTCTGCGCCTAAATCTCCAATGGAGAGTTTCTGCATAAAAAAGGGGACTTTTTCAATGGTCCACTCTGTGTGTGTGTGTGTACTGTGTGTACTGTGTGCTTGTGGCGTTTCTCATCAAGTCTTATCAAGTTGAGTGTCCATCATTCTCGCAGTCTGTTTGTTTCCCTCCCTCCGCGTCGGGAAGAGCAGGAGGGGCTGCATTGGCATCACAGAGCTTTAAAAGGTCAGGCCAGGGTCACAAACGGGGGGAGTATTTAGGATTTCTTGGCACCTCGGTGAAAGATTTCAGCTCATATGGGATCCCTGTGTCCACTTCAATGGATTTTCGGGAGAATAGCAGCCGGATATCATTGTGCAAGTAGATCTTCCCAGATTTGGAACTCTGGAATCTGACAAAGTAACAGAAAAGAGAAAATTGTTTTTAAATCCAAACATCTAATTGTAATGAAAAAAATTGAGCCTCATAACATATTGCCATTTGATCTTATTATGCTTATCCAGAAAAAAACCATGAAGGCCAATGCAATAGACATTAAAAAGAGGTTTCAGTGTTACCTGAGATGCATCAGGTAGCAGAGAATCTTTTTCCTGTCCACTACTCCAGCCCTGGGTGATGTCTCGCCTTTCCCCTCGACACCCTCCTCTACTGGCACCAGGAAGATGCGGTGGCGCAGGAAGGTCATGTGATTGACGGGCATGTCGCCAAAGTTGTACGTCACCAGGAACATCTTCACCACAGTTTTATTAGGATTAAATAAGGTCTGGGGAAAGAGGCCAAAAGAAGAACTGAGAGTTAATTATACTGTGTCACACTGCTGTTTTTATCTATGACACACCGATTCAATCTAAATCGTGTCACAATTTTGTGATTTTTCTTGTGAAATATCAGGAGAGAGGACATACCACTTGAATGGTCCCTGCTTTGGGTATGCTGTATCCTTTCTTTCCAAGAGGTTCAAGGGATACCACCCCCTGTGAAGGAGGGAGAAGGACAGAAGTGTTATTAAATAAAAAAATAAAAAACTCAATACTCTTTCTTTCAGCTCACATTTGGTCACAATGGACAAGAGGGTGTTTTTATTTATACTGGCAGGATGTGTTCACGGTAAGATCAAAAAGTAATTTTTATGCCTGGTTTGGGCGACAGATGACAGCATCCACATTTGTACAGGTTATGAAAAACCAATTCCTTATTGTAAAAAACACCAACAAAAATCTAAAATGAAAGCTTGCCCAGTCTACAACGTTATCACATGAAACCGCAGTCCAAAAAGGTGGCAACATGTGGAGTCTTTGAGTTAGATGCAGACATTCAAAGTCATCATGGCACATGAATCTGAGATATGATTTGAATGGCCGGTGTCCAAATGGTTCTGTGTGTCAGAATTCTGGGATACAATGGGTCAACACTCTTCTTTTCAAACAGTTCTCATGGTAATTTATGTTGGATATTGTTTTTTTTTTACCTCAAGCCGTAAAAAAGCAGCAAGCATCAGAGTCAGAGATGAAAATCTAGTCACTGTAATGTTTTGAATTATTTGCATACTTAATATCAACCTCCGATGCGACAGTCTCATACTAACATGTTGGAACACGCACAATCACACACACGCACACAAACACAGACTAACCAGAAAGGGTGAAGGTGCACTGTGCTCAGAAATGTCGTAGTATGTAACTTGCACAGGCAGGGTGACATGTTGTGGGCAGTAGGAGCCGCTGGCACCAATTTCTGCTGTGAAACCTTCAATCTGCCCGGATGGGGAGAATCTGCCTTTCAGTATGGACTCCTAGGATAGGTAAAAAGACGAAACAACAAAGGTAGAGACAGAGAAATATTATTGTTGTAGTAAAGGGTTCATCATGGTAACATCATACGACAGTGAGAGCCATAAAAATCAAGCTACTTATCTCATTCTAAGCCAACAGTGAGCTACCAGCATGGTCATTTTACAAAGGATATAAACTAAAATAAATCTGAAAATGTGTGACAATAAGTTTGATTTGTACTAATCCAAAGTAACTGGGCTGTAACACGTCATCTCACAGCAACGGAGGTCTTGGTTGCTTTGTGAGGAGTTTACTTGTCCTCCCTGAGCCCATGTGAATTTTTCTGCGAGTCTACCTCACCGGTAACAAAATTAGACATGTCACACTGTGATGCGAAAGTTCATGCACCCATTTACAACTCTTAAAAACTCCTCAAGCAGATGCTACAGCTTAAAGAAAGTCTTTGCAGACTTGTGGACGTTTAAGTGCATATCCAAACAGCTTGCAGTAGATTGTGGATGAACGTCGGACCATGACTACATTATTATATAGAAACAACTAATTTTTCAAAAAATGCTTACCTCAAAGTTGCCTAGCAGTGACCTGCTGATGGAAGACGAGGGCCAGCTGGAGCGCGTGGAGCGACCGGTGTCTGTCTGCTTACCGCTGCGCAGCTGCCGACTGCGTGAGACCACAATCATACAAAACAGACTAGTGGTTAGTGGTCGAGATTATACTAATTTTTTTTCTGAACCAATATGTCACAGGCCTCTGAGTGTCTGAGAATGCAAGTCCAGACACAAAACCTTTAATTTAGAGCAGGAAACCATGACCTACTCCCAGACTTGACGGACACTCAAGTGTCACCCAGCAGCGACCAATGGATAAACAACCCAGTGCCTCAAATGAGGCAACATCTTGATGTCTTGATTCTATGAGTTATTCTTGTCTTTCTATACAATTGAAAACTGTGACTAAATGATCAGAGATACAGTACATGACTCACCTTTTCAACCGCAGCCCATTTTTCAGTCGTCTCCCAGCCCTTGTGCAGTCTGTGGCAGTCTGAAAAAAAAAGATAACAAAAAGTGGAAGTCATTTAATTTGTTTTTTAAAATATTCTTTTAAATGCCACAAAAGAACACCATTAAATAACCACGGAAAGTCCTTGTGATTATTTAGAATTCCAACAGGGAAATTCTGAAGTTTGTTTTTTTATTTGTCTTACTTACTGAACCCTGACTATTGGATGTCGCCTCACAGACATTCCCCATTTCCAGACTCCTATTCGTGACATAGGTCACCCATAGGTCAGACGACTTGTCACCAGCCGAACCAAAAGCATCTTCAGTCCAGTCACTCGCAGCGATCCTCTCACTCATGATGAACTTTTTGATGATAACTAAATCTCTGTGATATCAGCTCTCTACAGAGCTTTAAGATAACTGTCAGCTTTTTGGCTTTTTTCCGTATACTGTCAAATCCATCTGCGGCATTTTGGAATAAATATAGCCTCTCACCTGTACCTTATATACTAAGGTGAAGCCTTTGATAGTTTACTAATCCTTCTGCTATTCTTTAACTCATCCCGGTCACTGCCCCCTCTGTCCCAGAGATGACCTTTTCTTCTGTCTTCTATGTTTTTCTTAGATTTATCTGTCTGTCCCTGCTCTTCGCTCACAGATACACTGAACACTTTCAGTCACAGCGATCCCATCCCAGTATGAAATCCAAGCACTGGACCCCATTGTCACCGTTGGTCCACTCCCCATTCCGCAAACCTGTACACTCAAAGCTTTTTCTGGCATTCCAATGTTAAAAAAAGACCAATTCACTTCCAGAATGATTTTAAGCAGCACTCACGTATGTGTGTATGAGAAACACACGTCACAAAACAATGGACACTACCTCAATGGGCTTTATTCTGGAGCTGCTCTGCCTGTTCCAGTGCTTTGTGATCATGAGCCAGCCATGACTTCATTCTTTTACTTTTAATCATTCTCTTATTCTGTATTTTTCACTTAGGTAAACAGGAACCATTTAGATAAACCAACTTCAATCGATTATACATGTTTTTTGTTTCAATGGCAAGATGTTGCAATTTCCTTCCATTTCTTTATGATATGAAAACTGAAATCTCATGTCATGTAGAATTTCAGGCTATTGTAGGGGGGGGGGGGTTGGCTTGCTGAGAACAGTTACCTGCATTTTTTTCACCAACAGGTCATTGTATAATATTATGTCATTTTACTGAAACCCTTTACATTCAGATGCAGTCAGATAAACTAACTTGTTGAACTGTAGAAATTGGATGGCTATTGTTAGCCATTTGACAGATTTATGATTAACAAGTATATAAACATAACAATAATCTTCGCAAATGAGACCACATTACACAATGGAAACATGGCTTATTATCTTATCAGCTAATATTAAAACTGTGTACTTTTGGAGGAGTCATCCGATTTCTGTACTTCATCATTTGTTCTGAGCTTTTTACCGTTTCTTCCGTTAAATTTCCGTCAATTTTAGCCTTTTAACAACATGCCATGTTAACATATACCAGGCATATATAATACTTTAAGCAAGATTTATTAAATTAATTCTCTTCATCCAAAACTACTTGTTGTAATGCAAAAAAAAAAAAACATATCATAAGCAAATGTATGCAAATGCAACTTGTGAGTGCATGCTAACCTTAGGTCGGTCCCGTGCACTTGGTAGTAGGTGGTTCCAGTACGGAGCTGCTTTAGCATCGGTGCTACGACATGAGGCTGGGCCAAGTCCTGATGTTAGCAAGGACAGCCTGCTTCTCTTTGATGTAGAAGGTCCCTCATCTTCTGAGCATGACTCGCCTGCATCACTCGGGGACAGCAGCCTCTTTCTGGCAGGCCAGTGGCCTCCAGAGAAGAGACGGTGCCCATTGCTGCTGGGAGTTTTCTCCCAGGAGGCCAAACCATTAGAGGAGGTGGCAGCCTGGGTAGCACTTCGCACTGGTGGCGAGGATTCAAGTCCAACGTCCCATTCGGTGGCCTCCCCAGGTTCCTGCAGCTCTGTGTGGTGTGGGGGGGAGAAAGGACCAGGGGGACTGGTGGGACTAGCCGGGTTAGGGGATTCATATGTGGACATTTCGTATAAGTGGTTGCTTGGTTGGCCTCCAGATGTGCCGTTGCTACAGCTCTCGTGATTAGAGCTACCTAGAGAGTGGGTAGGGGTTCGGCTGCCATTGGTTGCCTCAGATCTGACTGAGCTTCCGAGGGAATGACCCTGGTCATAGTTATGCCCATGTGGGTCGCACATTGGGGGGGATTTGGGAGAAAGTGGAGCAAATGCATCAGGAATGGACCTATCGTGATTGTGCTGAGCTGGACGTCGGGATGGGTTGTGACTTGGGGAAAGCGGTGGAGACCTGGGTGACCGTCCACCGTCGCACTCTCTGTGCTCCAACTGCATGCAAGAGTATGGGGAACCAGGCCCATCAAGTCCAGTTGCTGAGCCCATCCCAATTCCTTGAGCTGGGGTTTGACCACACAGCACTCCTCCCTCCAGTATATCGCCATCAGCGGAGTCCTCTAGATGGGAGCGCTTATGAGTTAACTGAGGCTCTTCTAAACCCCTTTTAACACCCAAACGGACAGGCCTCTGTTGGGCATCAGTTTGAGATCCTGTAGAGGTAGAAAATCCCCCCATTTGGGAAAAAATGGAGAGCTGGTAGACCTTTTGGAGCCGCAGCTCCTCTTGGCCAAAGGGCCTGGGCGCCCCTGCTCTCACCCCAGGATCTAGGCCATGTACTGAGGATGTAGAAGGAGGTAGATCCCCCTCCTGCGCTGGAAGCTCCAGTGGAGCCTTTTTATGGGCCAATTCCACATGAATGTGCCTCATGGTTTTGCTGCTGAAGGATATGAGTCTTAACTGACTTCAGTGCAATGAGGTAAAAACTGTTCTACAAATGCCAGGAAGGACACCAAGATGTTCCTCAGGAAGGGGACTTCCTACAGATCCTGTTGTGATGTCATCAAATTGTCTGATTCAAGAAGCTGATCCACACACCACCTGAGAAGAACATAATGCATACAACACACTGTAAAGCAGAAATATTTGCCAACAGCACAAGTGGTGAACACATCAGAATAATTGGAAATCCTCTCAGTGCTGAGTCAGAGGAAATTCAGCCTTTCGAAGTATTTTTTAAAGATTATTATTGGGGGTCATTGGTTCTAAAAATCTAATACAGAAGATAGAAGAGTTAAAAAAATAACACAAAGCATTTCAATCCACGTTACCTACCGTTCCTCTGCTACAAAAGCCAGACAACATATCAGGTTTGTATGCTTAACACTAGTAGATAGTAAATAATTAACTTAAGACAGTTATTAGATTTATGTCACACCTCTTTGCATGTTCTTGTCTGCATACTCTAACAGTTGTACTGAAGAAAATCATCCATCTCCATGGTAGCTGCTGCAAAACGATGCCAACATCCCAAGCAAGGTAGTCAGGGAAAAGGAATTCAGATGGAGCAGAAGTTAAGGTGGTGGGAGCAAATGCTCAGCCCTGTAATGCAACGAAAAAGTTTGGGATTTTATTAATGACAAAATAATTTAAATATAACAATGTAGTGTCATATCAACAACATATCTTTTGACACAGTGATTAAACACGAAGATCAGGATCAAATCAACTCGCTGGAAGCAAAAACTTACCAGTGGGGGCGGAGTGTCAGTAATGCAAGAGGTTGTGAAGAGGAAATCCGTCAGAATCCAAGTTGGTAATAATTCTGTTGCCACTCCCTCTAACACTAGCAGATGGCCAGGCACTCCCTCCTTGGTCACCTGGGTCTGAGGTGGGGCATGGTTGTGGCATCATGATTGGGTCATTCCACCTGGAATCCCTGAGGAAGCAGAAGTACAACCATTTAAAAACCTGTTTTTTTTTCCTCTCCACTAAGCAAAGACAAATATCATGACAGATGTTTATTCTTAGGTTCAAAACGGCACAAAAACCAAGAGATTTGTCACAGGAGTTTGGGTTAAAATTATTAACTGTTGTTTGAAAGAAATACAGCAGATGAAAACTCTACAATGCAAACATTGTTTAATCAGCGCGCTTCGCAGACACTGTGGGTGCCTAACTTTGATTTGGTAGAAAGATCCATCATTCTAAATATAATAATTCTTTGTGTGGATGTTCAAACGTGACAGAGTCACTTATGGAGGTTACTTGGGACCATGTGGCACTAAGCCAATAGCAACAAGACATTTTGCCATTTCCCAACCTACTTGGACCTGGATTTGGGAAATTTTCTTTTTTTTAGGAGGGTTTGGGGGGGGGGCGGGCGTTTGCAATGAGCCGTCTCCGTAGTAACCAGTAGCCCAAGGATAACTACTCCTTTGTGCTAGGCCACAAAGAGGGAGAAAGGGAAGCAGAGCTACAGAGTGTTTGAGAGAGTTGATGGCAGGGGGTGCTGGGGGCAGGGGCAGCAAAGAAGCTTCTCCATTAAGGGAGAAAAAAAAAGAAAAAAAAAACATATCTCTGCACTCACAAATGGCTGCTCCCCATGGGAGGAATACTGCCAGTGAAAAATTGCAACACATTGCGATAAAAGCTTCGGTTCTGATTGACTGAAGCAGTTAAATGTTTTGTTCAAGGCTTGAAATTGAAGACGGCTAATCTGACGCCCTGCTGAGTCCAATTTATGGAAAGTAGAGAAATGTAGTTGGCTCCTGCTCAGACTGCTATTACTGAAAACAATTACTTAACTATTTGCTTTTTAAAGCATCATGATGAACACAGTGATGATAAGAGATTCATTTCCTTTACACAAGTAATGACATAATCCCAAAGACAAAACAAAAGAGAGAACTTTAGCAAAAAAATGGTTTGACGTAATCAAAGACTTAATCCTGCTTGCTCTTTACTTGACTGAAATGTATTTGCATTCCCAAGTTGAAACATTTGACTGGGATAATAGAAAAGGATGCACTCTACGTGACCTGCAGCTGGTATTTGAATTGCATGGCTGACTAATTGTTTTCCTGTACAAGTCATGTCATACATATCCTATGTCTCATGTCTTTAAACAAGCATAATCATTCTTTCAGCTCAGACACTAAGTGTGTTCAACTTTCATGATAGGACAGAGACAGCCATCAATTTTTTTTTTCACTGACATTTTAACCCTACATATGCGAGCAGTGATATATAGGGTTACTGTGAGGTGATCAGGCTTCCTAACCAACACACTACTGCATACAAAGAATCATATGGACAGGAGCGAAGCCTTTGTCACCTGTAATTAGTTTCCCAACATATGGTCTCTTTGCAGTCACACATTACAAGCTGTGGGGAGGCTGCACAGATTTAACAAAAGGAGCGTCTTCAGAAACCGAGAAACCCAAAATTTAAAGTGTGCACATTATGGTGAAATAGAGTCTTTACAACCATGAATGTTGCAGCTTTCAGCTTTCTCTTTGCACTGTATAAAAAAAATAATAATACTTTTCTAACATTTTCTGCCTTAATGCAAATGGGAATATCCACAGATATTTTACCCATCTTTGGCACATCACTCTACAAAAAAATGTCATTATTTGAATAAGGCACTTCAAGGACGGAGAGACACGGCAAACCCCCATAACGCTCTGAAGATGTATGAGTTACATATCAACAGCTGACAAAACCAGGACATTTGCATGTCAAATGCTGTTTGATGAAGCTCTTCATTACTTTATCAAAGTGGCTTCGTACTAAAAGAGACCTGTTAATGTTAAATCTGCTGTATTGAACTTACGTAAGTTGAATCAGCCCACAACAAGGAGAGCAGGAGAGAAGTCAGCAGGAGTATTTATAGTCACTGCCTGTGCCACTATGATCATCCACAGCTTCTGTTCCAGATCCCACTTGCTTGCCGACCTTATTTTGGAGTGGCTGAGCAGGAGGCTGACAGAGACTGCCCAGCTCTACTCAGGCTCGACCCAGTAGCCAGCAATGGAGGAAACACCCTGGCTTCACCCCAAGAAATGTTTCAAGTTGCTGGGTGTACTGCAATTCGGACTTGGGCACTCGTGAAATTCACTACGGCATCGCTTCACCTTGTAGTTGCTTCAACGCGTGCACACTCATATCTCCTCCTCTGACAACAGAATGTTCTCATTTTTTACTTTAATCACATTATGCATTAGCATACTCGAAGCATAACCTGTGGGACAACATATTTACAGCTGGTGCAAACCAACAGTTTGCTGCATACACTGTAAGAGAACAAAAGCAAAAACAAACTATAATAATTCAAATATAGCACACATGGTATCAAAAATATTCTGCAATATGAAGATGTTTAAATTACTCTGCTGGATTTAAATGTACCCGTCTGAAAAGAGCAGAATAACAGCCTTTAACTGACAAATCAGTTCCTTTCTCCGTTTAATTTCCTTTATGACTGTGAATATAAACAAACATGCACTCCTAAACATACAACCTCTTCAATATTCCCCTAAGAAGTTATCCTATCATCTGAAAAAAACAGGGCTGTCAAAAGAAACCTCGAAATTTTGACTGAAGCTGTTGTGCACATGAGGAAATTGAAACACACCACTCAATAAAAACTCAAGCCGAGAGAGCCTGGAAATGGTGAGATGACTGATGAAGAAATGAGAATAACCAGAGAAATGAAACACACAGACAGAAAGGAGATGGAACACAGAGATCCACCAGCCTAGTAAAAGACCTTGAGGAAGGTATAAATAGACCAGCAGCATAAAAAGTTCAGGGCTCCGGTGCATGAAAACAGCCACTCTGAAACTTATTATTTAACAGCTCACAAATTAAGTTTGGCACAAGTTAAACCTGGGATACATACCTCATCATCGTTTTAAACAATTAGTCTCTACAAAAAAAGTTTTATTGGGAAAGATACAAAAAAGTGCTTGTAAATATTTTGAGTAATCACAGCCTTCAGAAAAAATATATAAAAAACCTCTTTCGCTGCAACTGTTAAGGAGAACTAATAATATCCAAATGAAATGTGTTCATTATATAAACAGAAAAACATTCTAAGGACATTAAGAAGACATTTAGATGGGCCACTTAGAGGGGATCTGATGGGTATTTAATTGTACTATTAACTATTAGGTGCCCTGCCATTTCTTCTGTTTAAAACAGCTTTCTCATAAATAAACTGAATTTAACTGAATTCGTTTATTATTGGGACCCAGAGAGAGGCTTACTGGGGACCTCAGTTTCCCAACGCATAATATTTGAGGAAGGAGCTTTTATTATTGCTTCAATTTGCTGTATGAAACCTAACTGGTTACTGAATTTTGGCGAAAGTTGAAGGAGCACTGCAGGCTAGTTTCACCAGTCAGTTTTTCTCATAAGACATAAGGCGACCTGGAATGAGAATACTGGTCAGTTTATAGCCTTTAAGGAAACTATTCAGATGTGAACAGGTGCTGAGATCTGTATACAGTATTTGCTCACAGGACAAGATAAGGGTCCATACATAGTCACCATAGTAAGATCAAGCAAAGGGAGACTGTGGTCGAGAGGTCAAAGGTCAGGGATCAGATAACTAAGCACATTATGAGGCTCAGAGGTGTTTAATTTCAACATCATGAGGAAAGTGGTGTGAGGGATGGTCATTATAGGACAAGAATGTGCTGATTCCATCTGTGCTGTAAATTGGCATGCAAACCTATACTCTGATATCCCAATTCAGACCATTCTCTAAATATCGTATTGCAAACATACTTTTCTGATTACCCTAACCCTTTCGTGTATAGCGATTACAACAGTGGACATGTATATAAAAGCAATTCTCTTCTGTATATGTGTGTTTTTATGTTTTTAATGCACTAGACCTCTGAAGTGGATCCTGGCGCATCGTGTAACAAAAAATTCAAAATGTCCACAATAATACATTGTTACAGACGAGCTGAAATAAACTAAGACAAATGAAGGGGTTGAATGATGAGGAGTCACAAAAGAGATGAGATAGTAATGGATATTAGAATAGGAAGAGAGTTGCCTGCAAAGTTCTATGTTTATGCATTCGGTTAACAATTTTCAAAATATGGTCACATTCTAACAAACATTATCATATGAATAGAAATAAATCTTAAAACATATGATGTCCACTTAATATGAATAAACCTGGATAAATCTGGACTTGACACACCATATGCAGCTCATGCCACGATCAGGATCATCTTATATAGCATGAGGTCTGTAGTCTGACTGTTACTGAGCATGAAACATAGCCATTCATTAGTAACTTGAGCCATGTGTGAAGCATCTGCTTGTTAGGCTGATATATCAGTAAAGCAGAAAAAAAAAGGAAAAAAAAGAAAAAAAGAATCTCACTTAACTACCTGTGGCACCCAGTAAAGTTTGAAATAGTGAGCAGCCCGAATAAAACACACAGGCAGGGAAGCAAACAAAAAGATGTTATTAGTGGAGTATGCGGCTAGCTCGGAGCTAAGAACCAGCTCACAGTGAAATCTATATAGGTGTCGGGGGCAGAGTTCACAGTCAGCACCAATCCTCAGAAAATAGCGTGACATTTGGCCTGGGTATATTAACCACAACGACAGAATGCCACCTGTATGAGTGCAAACAAAAAACAAACACAGGCAATTTTGCCTGCATGTCAACAGTGATTTCCCCATTTGACAATAAGGAAACTGTATCTGGTAGGACCACAGCTGCTGGGTGTATAGATGTCTGGAGTTTGATTGCCACTAGTGCTCACATTTCAATGTGTAGCAGCATCTTTTGATATTCACTGGCAAATATCCACCACAGTACAGAAAAAAAGAGTTGCAATCAAAAACTTTTAACAAACTCCAGAAATTACATTAAATATAAGAAAGCTTTTTAGTGAAAAAGACAAACGCTCGATAAGCAGAAAGACGGTGGATATCAATAAAATGCTGCTTTAAAGTTTGTTATGCTTTGTGACAATCTGAATTATAAAGAATGGCTAATTAGTGCTTCTGAGTTTTGATGAAGTTTATTCTCCCCACCGAATAGATGTGCCATGTTTTATTTTCAGTCTGAGACTAAAGTTTCCATCTTGAATGAGCCCTTTGTAAACACTTCCATCTTTCTCTGCTCAGCTGCACTTTGCCCTAGTCCTGTTCCAAGTCCACCCTTCACGTGCAGCCCATAACAGAAGCATGATAGCATCAGCATGAAGCTAGCAGCCTCCCAAAAGCCCCGATTGTCTCATCAAGTTTTTGCAGATCCCCGCCCCAGCTTACTCCCAGGCCTGCTCTGCGCCTGGAGGCAGATAAAAAACACTCATGTGGACATTCTCAGACGTAAAGAGCTCAATCAGCTGTTGATTAGATTACAGGAACCTGTGTTGGCACAGGCTGGGTGGAAAGACAGCTGACTGTATCTGTGAGAGTTAAACAAAGACATTAAACAGGAAGTGAAGAGAAAAAAAAGGCAGATGATGACAGCAGAGAGAGGTAGAGTTGATGCAGCCTGATTAGGCTTTGAGGAAGACAGCGTTTCACCCGACAGACACCTCTGAGGCCGGGGAGCCGCGGCAGTCTAAACTAAGCTGGCAGTGACATAGTTGCTGAGAATGCTGTTTGACACAGGGTCCCTTTTTGTCTCTCCCTCCCTCCGTATGCTTGCCTGCCTTTCAGTCTGTTCGGCCTTTCATGTGGCCATTTTAGGAAACGTAAAGCACAACCCACAAAGAAAATAAAGGTAAAAAAAAAAAAAAAAAAAAGGATGGCAACATTTGCACACTTGACATGGGGGGCAGGAAAACTTGTCACACTCACCCCTGTCAGAGAGATGAGGTTTATCTCCCTGCCTCACTCCGTCTCACCCCTTCCTTCCTTTATTTCGGGTGGCTGAAAAGGTGACAGTGTTGTCTTCTGTTTCCACTGGGTCAGGCTGCAGTCCCTCTCAGCTCCCCGGTGTGGTCGCCTGGCTCCGTTTCCTTCCTCCTGAGCAGGTCGCGGTGGCAAAGGCAGAGACGAGTCAAGTTGTTCTGCCTCCCTCTTGTTGTGTCAGGATGTCTAATAGTTTGCACTGCTGCGCTCTCTCTCCCTCTCTCTCTCTCTTTCGGTATGTTTTCTTCCTGTCTACCTCCCTCCACCCTTATTCACACACATGCACAAATCAAAAACCCATCAACAACTCCCAGCCCCCATTTGTCTCGCTTGTACCCTCCTCTCCTTCTCTTCTCCATTTCAAGCCACCCCCCTTTCCTCCTTTCGCTCATATAGACGCTCTTCCAAAGTATCTTGAAAACAAAGGCTACTTCACACGCTGTCATGCCCTCTTTCCTCACCCATTTTTTCCTCCTCTCCTCCCCACCCTCCCCTCTATCCCCTTTTTCGAACGCTGACTTGCTGTCTACCCCTCTCTTCGAGGTGTGTTTTCTTTCCGCTGCTCTCCTCTCAGCTGATAGAGCAAGGCATGCTTTGCTCACTCAGCAGTGAAGGCATACAGGGGGGAGAAAAAAAAAGTATGTGGTGGTGGTGGTGGTTGGGCATGCTGGCCACTGATTGGCTAGAGAAAAGGGGGGTCAGCTGTAGTGACTAAAACCCTGATTGGCTTGAAGGGGAAAGAAGTGGAAGATATCTGGAGAGAAGAGCCCGCCCACCTGCTGCTCGGCCTGTTCTGCAAAAGTACAAGACTGAAAGAACACTCTCCTCAAAGTGTAATATTTACAGAGTCTACCGTTGTAATCTCTGCCCACAATATGCCAAAACGGTGGTTGTGCACCTTTGTGTGTGTATCCATTGAAAAAGAAAAGCAGCTAATGAAGAAGCTAATGCCTCAGAGATTACAGATGCACCCATTTATGCGCTGCACCCTCCCCCCCATTTCTGTTTCTTTCTCACACACATATACACTCTGCTCTGTAGCATGCACGGCGCCTATAGCTCGGGCCAGCACAAAAGCAGAAAAACAGCAGCTGGAGTACAGATAGGGAACGAGCAGCATGTGAAAAAGTTTATCAGCAGAGCGCCAGGAGCGGCCCTTAGCTGTGTGCGCGTGGTTGTGTGAGTATTTTGGCATCTGTGAGCTAATAAGGAACAGCATGTTGACTGTGCAATAACTATTTCAGGGTGGTGTGGTTAAAGTACACACTGAGCTGGAGATACACTGCTTGTGATGAACTTTTTTTTTGTTTTTTTTTTCACAAACACTCGGTGGGTGGAGACTGCTCAAGTAAAAGCATTTTGCACAAAACACGGAGGAAGCCGTCGGGCACATTGTTTCATTGCTCTGTTTACAGACAAAAACACAGACCTGTTGCATTATTTCATTCATTTGTTTCATTTTCCTCAGACGCCAGGGTTTAGTTGTTATCTGATGTGTGCTGGTCGAGACATGTCAGACGAGAATGAGAGCTCTCCGTCTCCCCGTGTGTCTGACACTGTCTGTCACTGTCATACGTCTCCTGATCTCTTCTGAACTGTGACACAATGTCTGTTTCAGACATGACGGAAACTTCACTCTTGCGTAGCCTACTTAGTTTGTATTTTGTCTCTGTTACACAAGGGGAAGTGGAGGAGTTTTTCCCCCGTAATGAAGTTCTCTCTAGCAACATGTATCATGTTTTAATTGAAGATTGTGAAAATGAATAAATATTCATCAGAAGCCTAGAAATATTGACTATGAATAATCTTCCAACCAGAATTCCCCATTCACTTAAAGATGAACCAAAATATTAATGTAAAATCTAAAGTATGCAGTTTCAAAAGAAAAAAATACCATATTTTGGCTTGAGGTTCCTACTTTTGCTTGCTTACGGATTCAGCGAAGGCTTTAAAGCAGGAAGGAACAATATAGGTGAGCAGCTAAGACGCTGAAAAACAAGACACGTCTTCAGCACCGCACCTCCAAATATAGAGATGTGGGGAAAAGGGAGAGAGAAGAGGGAGGAGGAGCCAAGACAGACGGAGCAAGAAAAAAAAAACTGACGGGCGAAGAGTGAAATGAGACAAAGTTTCTGTTTCCGAGAAGGCTCAACTTCTGCTTCTGATGGCAAAGCCTCTTAATAACTGCAGCTTTTTTTCCTGAGCAGGAAAACTGAGAGAGTGTGTGTTTTAGCACACAGACAGGCACAAACCCCTGCTAACCTCTGTTCCTTTAAGAACAAATGTAGTCTCCCTGTTTGGGGGGGCGTGTTTTCTTTACAAAGGCCCTCCCCCATTCAAGGCACTGTGGGTGCAGCAAGGAGAAAGATGCAATAGAAAAAACAACACACTCAATCACATTCCATCAACCATTCACATTGCTATCCTGACCTGAGAACACAATCAGGTTTGTTTTGATGTTTGAGGATCTTGCATTGGCATTTAGGTGCATATGTCCTGTTTTTATAGGCTTCTCAAAGTGACAACAGGTCTGTTTTGGAGGGGTAAGCTAAATTCACAGTGATCTAAAACTGACGGTCTTAAATAAGCCCCTAAACAAACTTTTGACACATGACGAGTTTTGAAATTAGATCTGAATCAAATAGTGTATTAGACAGGAAAATGACAAAAGCACTGTGTGAGTGGAGGAGGTGTCTGGTTGGAAATCATTTATCTGTTAGAGGGCCTCATGTGCTCCATAATGAGTATTAATGGCGTACTCTTGACTTTAGAATGCTTGTGAATTTTGCAATGCAAAAAGATGCTCTACAGCTTCTTAATGGATTGGTATGTTTTAAATACTGTAGACATGTTGCATGTGGATTTTTGTCTTTTATCAGCCTCAGTTCTTGTGTCAGCACATGCTCGTGACAGATTAAGAGATATGACCCAAAACTCTATCACCATCATCAGATAGCCTGTCATGCTGTCTGTCTTCCAACATGAGCTTTTCATTTTTTTTCTCCAGATTTCCATCTTTAGAGTGCTCTAAAAAAGGAGGTAAACTTGATTTTCAAGGGTGTATTATGCAAACATAAGGAAAACCTTCACTCCAAAATGAAAAGTTTTGCTGTTTTACATACCTTCTACTTTAATAGGAAATATGTTTTTAACTGTCTTCAGGTTGGTACATGTCTTCTGTTCAATTAGAAGAAAATCAGATATGTTACACCAATAAATTCTTAATGCTGAGATTATACAAATCTAAGCTTCCAATGAAGCATTCATATATAAATGCCAAGTGATTTCTTGAGAGGTATAAGAGGTTTAATTACACTAATGTTATCAGTGGATATGCAGTTTTCCACTACTTTTAATGCATATAGGCTGTGATATGACTACAAAGACCAGTTGATATCCCCATAAAGACATTGAGTTACAGCAGGTAAATATAGCTTAAAATGTGACGAGTAATTCTAAATAACACATAGAAATATTTATGTTTTGATGACTAAAGTGTGGAAGCTTCTTTTATATAATCTATAACACAAAACCACGATGAACTTTCTCCACATAACTGATTTCAATGTATTATTATCGTTGATGACTTAAAGAAAAAACAGGACAACCACCCTCCAATGAAAATCCATCCATTCATTTTCTGAATCGATTATTCCCAAATGGGGTTGTTTTTGGACAGTTTTTGGACAGTCGGAAGAAGCCGGAGAACCCGGACAGAACCCACGCAGACACAGGGAGAACATGCAGAACGGTCCTGGTTCCCCTGGGGACTTGAACCCAGCACAGTGGTGCTAACCAGCACACCACCGTGCTGCCCTCCAATGAAAATCCAGTTGTGGAACAGAATAAACCTTTATCTTTTCTAAAAAACAGTCTGTATCTTGAAGGAAGCATTGGTTATCCATTCCTTAGGAAATGGAGAATTCATACATCTCTTTTCGTGGTTGTTGTCCTAATAGACCCCTGTCATTTCACTAAGGGTTTCTAAGGAAAATAGGTTATTTTAATGGACCAAGAGATTATGTACCTGAAGCGCTAATGGGGTCCCAGAAGAGAAGTCAGATCTTAAAATAGCTGACAGTGGTGTCCAACATGCAGCTGCTTGTTGGCACTAAGGGTTTAACACTAACAGACAAGGTCCCATTAAACAGGGACAGGAATTGTGTTACTTACAAGTGAAGATTTTATATTGACTCCCTGCCTGAGCATCTGTGCTTGGACTGGGGCAGCAGGCCTGTTGCATGACCAAATCAAACTCTGGCTGTGGCTTGACTCAAATGTGCATGGATCTAAATAAGAGATTTGCAAGGTAGATATTGCCTTGGTGTAAAAAGAAAAAAAAAAGGATACGAAAGTAGACGCTGAGTGAATTAGAGGACATGCAGAGATGGGAAGGAGTATGGCATCCTGAGTCTTGGTAACAGGCCCGGCCAGCTCAGAGGAATGTTCCAGAGAAATATGTTGCCTATTCATGGAGGACAGGAAATAAAGCTCCCTCTCACACCACCACTCCTCTTTTCCCTCTCAGTTCTCAATCTCTCATGTTTTTGCCTCACTCAGTCAGGAAGAGTTTCCTTCTCTGCTCCCTCTTCATGTCCTTTGAGTACTGCCTGTTGTATATTTTCTCTCCCTTTAAACAAATTCCCACTGTCACAGCTTGGCAGCATTTAAACGATTTTGACAAATTACTTAATACAGCCCAGTCTAACATCTGGATAGAGAAAAGAAGAAAAAAATCTGCGGTTTACCAATATCTAACCAGCTCACCGTCACTACAGAACACACCAGTCCGACTGATGATTGGTTACCAAGCAAAGCCGATGATAGATAGGATTATCAACCAGAGTGGAGGCTGGAGAAGATTACGATAACAGATAGAGCTTGTTCACACCCACATTAGTTGGAGACTTGTGATCAAAATCCAAAACGGAGCAAAATTAGGTACCAGATGCAAAAATGTATAATCACTTTACGGAGCGGGGTTACATCAGACCAGATAAATGTTTGCATTTCGTGCATTCGCATGCAGAATGTCTCATCCACTTCAGTCTTGGGGGTTTTCTAAGTAAAGGTCGGAGAGAGGTCTAACCAGGGTTAATCCCGAGGTCAATCCAACACACTCGCTCAGACACACAAGCTTGCACAGATATCATTACCAGAACACGTTGAGTACTTCCATTCATTGTGGACAATGTGCAAATCAGTTCAAATTCCCCTCAATTTAATAGT